CCTTTTGAAATTTAAAGATATTTGAATGTAACCAGAGATATGTTTTGGAATTAATAAACCAAACAACAAAAGGCTCCTGATATTTCAGCTTCTCACTTGATGATACTAGTCACCATTATATTATTGTTGTTATTACTGTTCCCTTGGATTCCGAGTGGAAGATAGAGATTCAACAGCACGTTTCTGTTTTGTTCTGTTCTCTGAGGTCCTGTGGTTCTGCGTTTGCCCACAGTTCCACATTTTCCTCTTCTCCTCGCTACACTATCTCCTCCATGTCACCCTCACAATCACGACCAACTCGTCGTTACCCATTCACCTTCCACTCGACCTATGGCCTGCATTCATTGTGATGTCAACTGACGGTCTCCTGAGTTTCTGCTAAATTCACCCCCATTTTCTTCTGCACATTTGTTGAGCAACAGGTTCCCGGTTAATTTGTTCCCACAGTTTCTTGTCGCCAACTTTTCCTGTTCTGCTTGCTATTCAATCTCCAGTGTGCAGCCAGTCAAGTGGGCCTGTTGGAAATGATTTTCGTGTCGTACAGTGCTAGTTTCTGACCCATATAGAGGAACTGACTGACTGACTGACCCAGTGAGTGACCATTGGTGTTGAAAATCCTAACCTTGTTGTTTATATTCGCTGAATGTGGAGTGGTGGAGGTGTGAATGGTCGTTTCCGATTCTGGCTAGCTCTGACATCTTCATGTGTGATGTCGCCTGTAGTTGAAATGATGCTGCCTGGTCAGATAAATGAAGGAGGTCGTCTCCCACTGATAGTGGTTGGTGCTGGTTGTTGCCGTTGCTGTAGGTTGGTTACCTTCATCACCCCCGTCTTCTCTATGTCCTGGAGTTCTTTCTTCACTGCCTGTCGGTTTTCGGATGTACGTTTTCGAGTTTGTGTGACATTAAACACAAAATCGTCGTCAAAATCCAGATCTTCTGGAGTCTTCCCATCCGTCCAGCATATTTCAGTCTTCTCGTTTCCCAAACACTGTGTGATACATAATCCAGTCTACCATAGTTAGAAATATCATCGGTGATAGTAGGCAACCAGTCTTGTCTTACTCCTGTATTCACTTCAAGGGCTTTTTGATAGGGTTGTGTTCTCTGAGCTGGATAGTTTATTTGCGGAGCTTTCATCACCCTACCAGGTGACATCTTCAGCTCATACTTCAATTCGAATTGAAGTGAGCTTTTAGATTTCTCCACGAGTTTATTAATCATCTCTCCTGGTGGGTGACCTTGGACGTGATTGGTTGTTTTTGTGTATTTTCACACCTTCTAGGTTACTTGCATTGTCACTCATTGTTTCTTTGACTTGAACTTTGACCATTTGTGTGTAAGATTTCTTTCTTATCGGTTGATAAATTTTGTCAATCTTGATGTGTCTATTGATTGATTATTCATTGGAATGCCAAGCTTCTAAAAATTTCCTAGCATTCTTGTTGTATCCTCTGTCTAATATTTGAACGTCGTCCCAGTCGAATTGATGTCCGTGGTTGTCTGTATGTAGTGATATGAGGGAGTGGATATCATGTCTTTTGATGGCTAGCTCATGTTCGTGTATACGAAGACGGAGGGGATGTCCACTTTGGCCAATGTAGTCTTTTTCGCAGTTGATACAATCTATTTTGTAGATGATGTTGGTTTTATCTTCTTTCGCTGTTGAGTATTTTGGTTGACACAGAATTGAGTGAAGTGACTTTGTTGGTTTGTGTACGACGTCAATTCCTAAAGGTTTGAAGAGTCTTGTAGTGATTTCTGAGATATCCTTTATATATGGTAAGGCGATTTTCTTTGTGCTTTCCTTGGGGGCTTTTGGTTTGATAGGTTGGCTTGGGGGTATATTTTTTTGATGAAATTCCGTGGATATCCATTCTTTTGGAAGACGTCCATGAGATATCTTTCTTCAATCTTTTTTAAGATGGGAGTGGTGCAATGAGTCCTGGTTCTCTTGAATAGTGTTTGTATTCAATTCCTCTTCTGTGCTATTGGATTGTTGCTGTTGTAATTCAGGATTCGGTTTGTGTGAGTTGGTTTCCTATAGACTTGAGTTTCTAATTCTCCTGTGGTTGTTCAGAAATCACTACAAGACTCTTCAAACCTTTAGGAATTGACGTCGTACACAAACCAACAAAGTCACTTCACTCAATTCTGTGTCAACCAAAATACTCAACAGCGAAAGAAGATAAAACCAACATCATCTACAAAATAGATTGTATCAACTGCGAAAAAGACTACATTGGCCAAAGTGGACATCCCCTCCGTCTTCGTATACACGAACATGAGCTAGCCATCAAAAGACATGATATCCACTCCCTCATATCACTACATACAGACAACCACGGACATCAATTCGACTGGGACGACGTTCAAATATTAGACAGAGGATACAACAAGAATGCTAGAGAATCTTTAGAAGCCGCTATGTTCCAGGTGACCCAGAATGCTCTAAACGTAAGTAGAGAACTACTCTTACACCTCATTCATGCCAGACCTTACTATTGTGCTCTGTAATGTATAGTTGGCTTTTAGAAATGCGGAAGTCTCATGATTCTCCACTTCTCATGCAAAGAATTCCATATTGTATCAAAAAGTACAATTTGCATTAAAGCTAATTATTTTTTAAGGTATTTTAGTAAAATATTTCTGTGTAACAATAGAGAACTGATGGCATTGTTTTCTTTTAATTATTAAGATCTATGTACTACTTAGTGATGCAGGGCCGTAAAAATTGTAGATTGATTGGGGATTCAATGTACAACGCATTGTAATTTAATATTAAATGTTTGGAGTCAATCAGAAGGACGATTCCTTATCAGCTGGTGCCTATCAGAAAACCTTAGGATGTGAAGACACATCGAGTCTCATTTCGCCCTTGAATTCAATTTTGATGAACATAGTGCATAATCATTAAAAAAAAAATATATATATGTAGTCAAGTTAGTTGACCAGAGAAGCTTTAGAAGAAAAAACTGAGCAAAGATTATCCTTTTCGATAATTTCCTCCTCTTCTGACTCTACAATTATGTAGATGCATGTTTATATACATAGAATATTCTAGAATAGTAGTCACTAACAATATAGATGTGTTTTTTAAATAATATCGATTTGTTCAGTAAGATCACAATGGAATTACAGTTCATTAAAGATGCTTTGATTATAATAATAATAATAATAATAATAATAAAGATATAATAGCAAATAGAATATCAAATAAAACCAAGGAAATTTCTACAATAAATTGAGGATCATCCAAACCTAGATGGCCAGCAAGGTAAGGATAATGTCTGAACTAGCTTCTTTTGCACTTATAAACTAACTCCTAAGGAGAAGTTAAAATTTGTTTGGTATGTGGTGAATGACCCTGAAAGCATGGTTAACATCAATCTTGTGTTCTGTATCCTCAAGATGGGATAGAGTATCGCTACGAATAGATTTTCTTTGTCCTTTACTTAACCACTATGCATGGTGATGTTCGTAAATCGGACGAGAGACACGCCTAATTGTACGGCCAATGTAAGTACCTGGCTCGACGGGAGAAGTTAAATTGACTACTATTCTAGAATATTCTGTGTAAATAAACACACGTGTATATAATTGTAGAGGCAGAAGAGTAGGAAATTATTGAAAAGGATATTCTTTGCTCAATTATTTTGTTTGTTATCTTTACCAGTTGGCCCACTTGACAGCAACATAAAAATGACTCCATGCTAAGGAATGATGATTAAATTGTTATATAACATAAGCTGAGGTTTTGTAAATTATGGTTAAATACTGCTACTTTTTACGAGCTGATCACGGATTAATATCAGTTAGAGAACCATTGGAAACCAGCTGGGCGTACTGCCAAACAGCTGCTACATCCTTGTTTCGCAATCATCGGCAGTACGCATCCAGGACCTTCCGGTTACAACGCAAGCTCGTATACCATTCAGCCACTGGGACCCTATTCATTGGCCAGTCCATGAATTCTAACTCCTACGAATTCGTGATTTAGCGCGACCACGAACTAATGTCATCGGCAGGAAAAACATCCTCACTCCCGACTGGATGGACCTCACTGGTCACGACTTCTCACTAGAACTCCAGGAAACTCCATCCTGTAGCAAGTCACCCACTAGCGAGCATCAGATTAATTTTCTATAGTTGGTTTGTAAGGATAAGTTTTATTTTTACGAGTTGATCACGGACTAAAATATCAGTTAGAGAAGCATTGAAAACCAGCACCAGAGTACTGGACACCTGTCTTGGAATCATTGGCAGTAGGCCAATGATATCAATCCGTGATCAACTCGTATAAACAAAACTAATCCTTACAAACCAACTATAGGAAATTAATACTACTATGATAAAGCTATTAGCAGCAGCAGTGATATTAAATAGCGAAACGTCAGTAAAAGCAGCATCAGCAATATCGTTTTGTTTTTCATTCATTCATTCATTGAGAAATACATTAAACCCTTTATTATAATGAATACAAATATGAATAATATATAATACGTAACCGGTGCTTCGGTGGTAGAGCGGTTAGGACGCTCGCCGACCATGCACATGGTCCGGGGTTCAATCCCCGGTCGACGCACTCCTTTACCCCACTAAGCCAGTAATCAGACTGGTAAAGAAGGAAGGTTGGGCATAGGGCTAGCAACCCCATCCTGTAAAAATAAACACTGCTACAGAAACTTCAAGCCTGTAGCTCGGAGCCCTATGTTTCACTGGGAACGTGAAGGAATAAAAAAACAATATGTAACCAGAAGGTTCTGGGTTCGAAACCCCCTGTGGTGGGTGTGTACTGTGAAGAGTCCCAAACCAGGCTGACGAAACAGTTGTCCAGTACTCCCTGTGGCTGGCTTTTCAATGGTTCTCTAACTAATGTCAGCTTATGGTGAAATCCTCCATCCAATATCACATATATAACCAAATTTAGAAATAATAATGTTTCCCAAAACTTCAAAAAAAAATGAAACATACGAAGAAAGATTTTTTTGTTGCTTTTACCTCTACAGGAACTCACAATTTTGTACACAGCATAGTTATCCATCTACACATGTTTTTAGCACAGATGTGGTAAGAAGTGAAGCTCAGAGAGAGAGAGAGCGAGAACACTGTAAGCGTAGAATGATTGATGTACAAGGTGTATTCCGGTTGTTCTTTTTTTTGCAGTTTTATTGATTAAGATAAAAATCAGTGTAAGATAGAATTGTAGATCTCTGTTAAATCAATTGTTACATATATATATATGCACGTTTATATATTAGGCATGAATAGACAGTGTGTGTGTGTGTGGTTGTTTTGCACAAATGAAGCACTTATAGGAAACATTTTGTTATGTAATTATAACAATGCAATGCATACTGAAGCGTTTAAGAATACAGTTATGCTTATTAATATAGTCTAGGTATACAGGTTGAGGTGTACATTTAACTCAATCATATGATACTGGTGTATCTAGTACTGCAGTGTACTTTCTCTTATAATAATAATAATAATAATAATAATAATAATAATAATAATAATAATAATAATAATAGTGATTTCAATTCAGCTTAATTAGAGTGTTTTACTTTAATGTTATGCCAGTATTATGTTATGCCAATGTTATGCCAATACCAACCGTATTTCGTCTGAACTTTAGTTATAGTGTAAGCGGAGATTATGAAAAGACGTCGGCTGGTGTTGGCAATCTTTCCTTCCTCTAACCAATCTGTTCAGTGGGATAGCACAAACACGACTTCTAACTGTGATGCAGTCAAGTGGGAATTTTTCTATCCTAGCAGTGAATAATATTCCTACACCAACAAGTCCTCGACGAGATCTACCCATTGTTACCGGTATCGCACCTTATAGCTTCTCCTCAGCGGAATAGGGAATCTTTTCAAAGGCTACAGGGGAAACCTGTTTCTAGGCCTAGAGTTCATGCCGCTGGCTGTTCTCTTGACATTTTTAGCTCCGCGACCTCAGGTTGTATGCCGTTGTGTATGTAGCTAGGGGGCATTACCAACCATAGGGCAGCAGGGGGGGCAGAGACTGCTAGGCAGGAAAATCCTCGTATTTTTCTAAGGAATAGCTTTTATATACCATTGGATTCCTCTCGACGAGACAAATCGATTGGCACCTGTTTCGCCCTTGTAGGACTTACGGTTGCGGAGCTATGGCTTCTTTAATTTCAGCTGTTATCCTACTGTTTTAGCGCTTCTTAGGGTTAACATGCTCTTTCATTTCATCCACGATGCTATCGGCAACGGGGAGCTGATAAGAAAACCGAGGCTGACCGGCAGCTTAACCGGGCTTCTACTGATATGACTGTGGCGACGGTATCAGTAGGAGATAACTTGGGTCGTCACACCGTTCCTAGCGTAGCTCCGCTGATAGTAGCAGCGGGCACCAACCAAATTTGTCAAACCTCACAACCTACTGATACATTGGCGACGGTATCAGTAGGGGCTGGACTCAATCGTCATCAACCCAACCCCATGAACCAAACAAAATCAAAAAATATCATGCCGGATCGGCCGTGGCCCGGATTAACAACGACCGCGCTTTCTGCTGCCGTGTCACAGGGCAGAAGTGATAAGTATACTATTGAGACACACCAGGCCGCATGTGACCGGCCTCAAGCAGATGTCCCCTGGGCTCTGCGGTCACGCAACACTAACCTTTTTTCTATTTCAGGTACACGAAGACTAAACTCAGGCGTGAGGCCAGCAACCCCACCCTGTAAACAACGATGCTACAGAAACTTCAGCGTGCACAATCTGCTTGCGTCAAAAGAAAAAGTCTGTGTGGGGACATGGAATGTCCGCACCATGTACGAGACTAGCAAAGCTGCCCAGATCGCAAGCGAAATGAGAAGATACGGACTACAAGTATTGGGGATCTGCGAAAGCAGATGGAACGGAAACGGACTCACCAAATTGTCAACAGGTGAGTCAGTGATTTACTCCGGTCACCCAGAAGACAACCACACACACACCGAGGGCGTGGCTATCATGATGTCACCAACGGCAACCAAGGCTCTCATACAATGGGAGGCGATCTCACCCAGAATAATGACCGCCAGATTCAATTATACAATGCTATGCACCGACCAACAACGCAGACCTCGAAAAGAAAGAAGAATTCTACAGACAACTACAGGCAGCAATAGACAATACTCCAGCCGGTGATATTAAAATACTAATGGGAGACATGAACGCCAAACTTGGACCAGACAACACAGGAAGGGAACTCATCATGGGTAAAGAAGCTCTGGGAGAGATGAATGAAAATGGAGAACTCTTCGCCGACTTCTGCGCCTTCAATGAACAAGTGATTGGTGGCAGCGTATAAAAAACACAAGGATATTCACAAGGCTACATGGGTGTCACCAGATGGGCGAACCAAAAACCAAGTTGACTTCATCACAATCTCGAGGAAGTGGCGGCGCAGCCTACTGGACACAAAACCAAGAAGAGGAGCAGACGTTGGCTCAGACCACTACCTCGTACAAGGAACAATCCAACTCAAATTAAAAGCTTTCAGAGAAACAGGAGCTGCAGATAGACTACAAGCCAAGTTCAACACTCAGAAACTAAAGGACCAGGATAGAAAGGACATCTTCGCTGCAAGCATAAAGGACAAAGCTGAGACACAAATCAACATTAGCGAAGAGGTCAGCGTCGAAAAACACTGGGGCAACCTGAAAGCGGTATGGAGCGAAACCTGCATGGAAGTTCTGGGCAGAAAGAAGAGACAGGACAAACCGTGGCTCACTACGGACACTTGGAGGCTAATAGAAGAGAGAAGGATGGTGAAACAAAAGATTATCCAGTGCATCGACGAGCAACAGAAACAGGAGTTGAATGCAAGCTACAAAACACTGAACAAAGGAGTAAAGAAGAGTGCCAGAGAAGACAAAAGAAAGTATTATGAAGCCATGGCCAATGAAGCAGAACAAGCAGCAGGCAAAGGAGACCTCGCAACACTCTACCAAACAACTAGGTACCTCTCAGGCAAAAATTCGTCACAAATTAAGCCAGTGAAGGATGACAATGGAAAGTCAATCACCAAAGAAGTGGAGCAAAGGAAACAGTGGGCTGAACACTTCAAAAGACTGCTAAACCGACCGCCACCTACAACGCGCCCAGCAATACTAACAACGGAAGCAGAATTACAAGTGAACATCAACCCCCCGACGAAAACAGAAGTCCTGAAGGCAATCAAGATGCTGAAAACTGGAAAAGCAGCAGGACCAGATGGAATCCCAGAAGAGGCATTGAAAGTGGACCCAGAGACAACAGCGGACTTGATGACGCCACTACTGGAGAAGGTGTGGAAAGAAGGCAAAGTACCCGAGGATTGGAAGAAAGGATACTTATTTAAACTACCAAAGAAAGGAGACTTAAGTCAATGCAAGAACTGGCGCGGAATTATGCTCCTGTCCATTCCAAGCAAAATACTAAGCCGCATCATACTGGAGAGAATCAAACAAGCCCTGGATGAAAAACTTCGACCAGAACAATCTGGATTCAGGAGTAACAAGTCATGTATTGATCAGATCGCCACATTACGGATCACCATTGAACAAAGCTTGGAGTGGCAGTCACCTCTCTATCTCAACTTCATCGACTTTGAAAAGGCCTTTGACAGCGTTGATCGAGAGGTGATTTGGCAACTACTTCGCTACTATGGGGTGCCACCGACAATTATACATCTCACCCATCAGTTGTATGACAACGCTGCATGCCAAGTAATCCACAACGGGAAGCTCACGGAATCCTTCGAAGTGAAGACAGGAGTACGACAAGGCTGCCTACTATCGCCAATGATTTTCCTGATTGCAGTATATTGGATAATGCGTCAGACAGCGGGCAATGAGGAAACAGGCATAAAATGGACTCACACAAAGAACTTGGAGGATCTGGACTTCACCGATGATATATGTCTGATTTCCCACAAACTGGAAGACATGCAAGTGAAAAGTAACAAGTTGGCAGAAGAAGCATCAAAGATAGGACTCCAGGTGAACATAGAGAAAACGGAGGTGATGAAGATTCCTGGCCAACACCAACAGCCACAGCAAAATCAACAGACAGCAATCAGCATAAATGGAAGGAACCTGAAAGAAACAACCTCTTTTACCTACCGACCAGGAAGCATTGTTTCAACTACAGGCGGAACCGACGAGGATATCAAAGCAAGGATCGGAAAGCAGGGCAGGCTTTCATTACTCTCAAGTCTGTGTGGAGGTCAACAACATTCAGCGTCAAAAATAAGATCGGGATTTTCAACTCAAATGTGAAGTCAGTACTACTATACGGATAAGAGACTTGGCGTGTCACAAAGAGCACCTCCAACAAGCTACAGACCTTCATTAACAGATGTCTTCGCACAATACTCAAGATCAGATGGCCGGCCGGAAAAGATCAGCAACAAAGATCTCTGGGAGCGAACCAACCAGGAACCGATTGTGAAACAAATAGGCAGGAAGAAATGGAGATGAATTGCCAGGCCATACTCTGAGAAAACCAACAAGTGACATCACTAGACAAGCCATCGCTCGAGTGGAACCCGAAAGGGAAGCGACGAGTTGATCGTCCAAGGGTGACCTGGAGGAGATCATGTGAAGAAGAGATGAAAACGTGTGGGTAGCAGACTTGGAGCCAGGTGAAAACTCTAGCAGAGAAGGGAACGCAATGGAGACGCATGGCTGAAGCCCTATGTTCCTCTAGGAACTAAAGGAAATAATAATAAAATAATAATAATATGCAAGAAATTTGAGTATAATTTATAGTTAAACTGAGTAGTTGATTAGGTTGAACATTCATGTATGTAAAAAACGCAAGTATTGTTGTTTATTAGATGCATCACACAGTCAGTGAAACAGTATTATTATTTACTGGATGACGAACTTTTGAACACAATTCACTTATTGTTCATAATCATATCATCAATTGTAATCACACGACTTCGAAACTTGAGTTTTATAGCTTCCCTTGTTCTTTCCTATTTGTCGTCACTGAGGTAGTACAATTTTCCAGATAGCTGGGTAGATAGGTGTTTGAAGTTGATTCGATAAACGAAGCTTCCGTTATCAATCTCTCTCTCCCTCCACCCTGCTGCTACATTATATTTTAAAACTGTCATCTTATCTCATCCATGCCATTGTATGGTTATGTGCAGTTGTATGTAGTGAGTGCTATAGCTGCTGAGCTATTTTCTAGATTTCTTATCTTATTCGGGCAAACTAATCTTGTCTGACTGACCCCTTGACCTATGTATTTGACCTGACAATCATTGCAAGCAGAGTATTACATAAACTAAATCGTTTTGTTTCAAAGGCTCCACAGAACTGATCCTTTAACCAACAAAGCTTGTTTCTAATTGAGTTTGTGGGGGGGGGGGTTGAATGCCACTTTTATTCCTACATTGTTAAGAATTCTCCGACATAAGGTTTCCGAGGTTCCTTCCTTGTGTGGAAGTACTACTGATGATTTAGATCCCTTATTGTAGGTGTTGACTTGCGCATATTTGACATGCATGTCGTCATTAGTATTACTATTATTATTATTGTCATTATCACTACTATCATTATTTATATTTACATTTCCCTACATATTTCCTGACTAATTTATCAGGTTAATTATTAAGTTTCAAGGTTTCTCTTATATGCCTCACTTCCTGTCTTAGATTTTCCTTGGTACTGTTTAACTTTTGTGCTCTGTCACTTAAACATTTCACCAATCCTATTTTTACTGACATAGGATGAGATGATCGAAAATCCAAATTTCTATTTGAGTGTGTAGGTTTCCTGTAAACACACCCTAGTGTGTTTAACTTCGCATTTTCAATCTATATAGGTATATCTCATCATCCAACCGTTTAACAGTGTTACTATCATTTCAGTGCACCAAAGGATAAATCAGACAGCAGGTAACAATGGTCAAAAGTCTATTTTACAAAACCAGAACAATTCACTCTGCAGAAATCCTTGAGAAAGTTCTGAAAAATAATGGTTATCCTCTGGAATTCATCAAAAAAGTAGGGAAGATCTGAAAGCTGAAAGGTAAACAAAACACCGAGAATAAGAAACCTATTTTCATCCGATTCAACTTTAAAAGTGATAATATTCAGGGAATAATTAACAGAAGACGGGAAAACCCCTCTGACCAGAACTTCTCCCGTAACTAAATTCATTTCTATTTATCGCACAAAATGCTTTTTTGTACAAGCAAAGGTTGATAGATACCCTTCTCATGTTAACTTGAATTATGTATAAAAATTTACGTGTACCTGTGGGAGCAGTTACACTGGGAGAACAGAAAGAAGGACATATCTCAGATTCTCTGAACATATACAAAAACGATTACACCTCACCAAGGGACAAATGCTGTGGATTATGCTATTGCCAGACATCTTGTTGATACGGATCGTATGAGTCACTGGTCACACAGTGAAATCCTTCAAGTTTGCATTCTGTCATCCGTGTTAACTAATATAATATAGTTAGGCGTGGAATACAAGCTAAGGAAGAGAAGTCAGTCTTTGAAGTTGTGAAGCTACATTATTTAAGGCGGCTTGGGAACGTGCTGCGCGTGCCCAATCACCGTCTTCTCCCTAATACACTGCCAGCTGATGTAGGATTGGGTTAGAAAAGAGTGAGGGGCAGTCAAACCAAATCCTGGCATCAGTCCATGAATTTTCTGACAGACAGTTTGAACCAGACACATTATTATTAGTATTTATTATTGTTTCCTTTAAATCCTAGGGGAACATAGAGCTTCAGCCGTGCGTCTCCATTGAGTTCGGTTCTCTGCCAGAGTCTTCACCTGGCTCCAAGTCTGCTACCCACACGTTTTCATCTCCTCTTCACATGACCTCTTCCAAGTCACCCTTGCACTGACGACCAACTGGCCGCTTCCCTTTCGGGTTCCACTCGAGCGATGGCTTGTCTAGTGATGTCACTTGATGGTTTCTTCAGAGTATGGCCAATCAATCTCCATTTCTTCCTGCCTATTTGTTTCACAATCGGTTCCTGGTTGGTTCGCTCCCAGAGATCCCTGTCGCTGATCTTTTCTGGCCGGCCATCTGATCTCGAGTGGTATTAAGCAAAGACAGCTGTTGATAAAGGTGTGTAGTTTGTTTGAGATGCTCTTTATGACGCCCTGGCCAAGTCTCTGATCCGTGCAGTGAGTAGCACTGACTTCACATTGGAGTTGAAAATCCAGATCTTATTTTTGATGGTGAGTGCTGTTGACCTCCACACAGACTTGAGAGTAGTGAAAGCTTGTCTTGCTTTTCCGATTCTTGCTTTGATATTTTCATCAGTTCCGTCCGCCTGTAGTTGAAACAATGTTTTCCAGGAAGGTAGATAGGTAGAAGAGGTTGTTTCTTTCAGGTTCCTTCCATTTATGCTGATTGTTGTCTGTTGTTGTTGCTGTTGTTGTTGGTCAGGAATCTTCATCACCTCTGTTTTCCCTGTGTTCACCTGAAGTCCTATCTTTGATGCTTCTTCTGCCAACTTGTTGCTTTCCGCTTGCATATCTTCCAGTTTGTGGGAAATCAGACATATATCATATCCACATAAGGAGGTGTATATTGTCTGATGGGTACTCTTGAGATACTATGATCCAGTAACTATAGATGTAAATGAATGTGGACATTGAACGTTGGTTCATTGACCTTGGTCGCCATTGGCGGGCAACTCAAAGGCGCCAATGATTCAATCGTGTACAAGTTGGAAGAAGACGAAAGAATACGAATAACTGCCGAACAATACATCTTCTTCTTGGTCCTTGTGTTTTGGAATTAAGGTCAATATCGCACTCAGTAATTGTCGGTTCGAGCGTCTTCGGAGATAATAAGAACTTAGGGTTAAGTACCTTGACAGTAGACTATTGGTGATATGGCTCAAAATCGTTATCAGTGACGTAAATGTGTTCACTCTTTCTAATTCTTTCATTCTCCGTCTTTGTGTGCTAAATTACGTGTCTCAACCTAAAATACTGCCCTCCTGTACAGATTTGTATTCTAAAATTCAGTTAGTTAGTCAATCAGTCACGTAGGCCAGCTGATACACTGAAAAACATTGCCTTGTTTCCCAACCTTTGTAGTAAGCCTCAATAACTCGAAAGTTTGAAATAAGCAACAACCCCATAGCTATTGACACATCAAAACTCAAGCTTAAAGCCTTATGTTCCCCTCGAAACACAAATAAAAATGAAAAAATTTTAATAATAAAATAAAGATTCATATATACATAATTGTATATGTTATGGTGTCATTACAGAACTGTAAGTGAACACAGTTAGGAAAGCACTTGAGCAAATACATCAAAATCTCCACATTAGTAACAGAAATGACAGCTGAAATCAAATAGAACTACACACAGGTGCACACAAACAGAGAGTAATTTCATTCGATACAGTTGACACTTTCAAGCAATTCATGCATTTAAACAAAATACACCAATGACGAGAAAATTATTCCGATGAAATTATACTACTAATAAAGCAATTAAGTAATCATTTCAATCATATATATATTTTCACGTGTAGACGTGTGAGCGTAGATGCAATTAAATACTATACAAAAAGGAGAAAACAAAACAGAAAATTCCTGACTTATCAAATGAAAAATGCTTTCATTCAATCATAAAAAAATAAAGAACAGTATGAGAAGAGTATTCAGTAATTTATCTGTATTCGTATTCTACTCCTTGGATAGATAATAAATTGGTAGGCATAGTAGTCTTATAGACTAGAATCAGAATTGATTGTCAACTTTTCATCAATATCACGTACAATCAGATCATAATCAGCTTCCAGTATTATATCGGAAAGAGCGATTTTACCGTAACTTCGATTACTGAATTTATGAAAAGCACCCTAAACAACCAATAGAAAAGGAAAAAGAAATATTGAATACAGGTAATATTTTAACTCATGGAAAATTCCCATTGTAACATACAGCAAATCAAAACAAGTGATTCAGCTAGAAGTCTCTTTTCAACGAATTTATCATCAAGCTGTACAATCGTATATATATATGGTCACTGAACATCTGGCTGATAATGACCACCTTATCTCTATAGCCTCCGCCTTTAAAGCAATCTACAAGGCAAAGAGTAATTTACCGAAATCCCCACCTACCTGACTCATCTGTATTGCTGAAACAGCTTTGGCTATCGAAACAGAAAAGCCAGATCTCTGTGTACAGAAGAAGTTCGTTTAACCCCTCCAACTTTCATGGTGTTATGATCCCTGTATGCAAAAGTATGGTAATCCCCAATCATATTTTAGCTCTACCAATTTTTCACTTTTCATTTTATCTATTCAGTTTGTATTCTCTTCCTTATTACGTCAATTGTTACTATTACTACTCTCACTTTTAGTTGTCCCCGGTATTATTTTACTTGTCACACTTGCCATTCTAAATCAATTCTGTTTCGCAACTTTAAATTCTATGCTATAAAATTTCACACAATATTAGGTAATGTTTTTATTTTATTCGACTTGTCTACTAATCTTATAATTGCACACCCTTCTTCAAATTCTATCAATCCTATGAATTATTCTATATATGACATTAATTTGCTTTGCCACTTGACATTTGACTACGATTATAATCACAAACATTTTAGTTTGAATTGCATTTCATACTATTATTATTATTTTATGTATTCACACCTATGATTCAATTCTCTCATCGGATATAACTTATTAAAAACCACATATATACGATTGTACAGCTTGATGATAAATTCGTTGAAAAGAGACTCTTCGCTGAATCACTTGTTTTGATTTTCAACAATGTAAACTTATACCATACAATTGGTGGTTGCAATAAATCACGAATTGTTAGAAGTTAGAATTCATGGGCTGGCCATTGATTGAATCGGGTACCACTGGCTGAATGGTTCGAGCTAGCTTGCCTTGTAACCAGAAGGTCCTTGGTTCGAACCCCGTGTGGTGGGTGCGTACTGTCGATGATTCCCAAGCACTAGGACAACGGAAACAGCTGTCCAGTACTGCAGTGGTGGTTTTCAATGATTCTGTAACTAATATCAACCCTTGATCAACTCTTCAAAAATATTATAGAACCATTATTATTATCATCATCATCATCATCACCGTTCCATTAGACTCAGAATGAGACAATGGACTTCAGGAGAAAGCTTCCATCTCATCCTGTTTTCTGTAGTCTATCTTAGCTGGTCACATGATTTCAGACAAGCCTTCACCTCCTGCTCACACGATCTCCTCCATTTTATCCTTGAACTGAAGTGTAACTCGTCGTTTCCCAATGTGATTTCCATTCTTCGGCATTTTTGTTGGCTGATTGATTGCTGGCTGGCTGGATTCAACATAGAACTTGGCACCAAAATGCAGCAGTTCAAGTTGCCACGTTCCAAAGAGCACACAAACGTTGACAAGAAAATGAGTGAAGAGAATCAATAGAGTTTTGACAAGTATAAAAGTGAAACAGAATGAGTAATGGTAGAAAGGAATATGAAAGATCACAGAGACTGAATATATCTGCGCCATTGACAACGATTTTGAGCCATGTCACCTATTGTCTCCAGACATTGATTCTTAGAGTCCCGAGGGCGGGCCCCAACCCGGAAGTCTGCATCTCCCTACCTGACTCAGTCTGATTGATTGCCCGCATGAGTTCCTTATTGTCAATGCTATCTGTCAATGTGATCTTCAGTATGCAGCCAACGAAGACAGTTGTTCATGAAAGTATTCAGTAAGCTGTTGAAAATGAATTTAATAACTCACCAAATCTCTGAACAGTATATGAAAGAAACGACATGATATTATTATTGTTTCCTTTAATTCCTAGCGGGACTTAGCGCTTCAACCGCACGTCTCCATTGCGTTCGGTTCTCCGACAACCCTTTCGCCTGGCTCCATGTTTCCCCACATGCTTTCATCTCCTCTTCACATCACCTCATCCTCTATGTCTCCCTCACACTGACGACCAACTCGCTGCTTTCCATTTGAGTTCCACTCAACAGAGAGCCTGGCGTTTGATGTCACTCACTTGATGGTTTGTTTTCTCAGAGTGTGACCAATGCAATCCACCTCCATTTCCTCCTGCGTATTTCTTGCACAGTTGGTTCCTGCTATGTTGCTTCGCTCCCAGAGATCACTTCCTGTTGCTGATCGTTTTTGGCCATCTAATCTGACATGATATCGATGCTGAAAATCCGAATCTTCTTTCTCTCACCGATTGCAGTAAATTTATAGATTGGTTTCAAATGAGTAAAGGTTTGTCTTGACCTTCTAACCCTGACTTTAATATCCTAATTTGTATTGCCTGTGGTTGAAAGTACGTTGACTAGATAATTGAAAGAGTTACCCACCTCTTGGATTTCTCTAGTTGTTGTTGATTAGCTCTTGTTATTGCTGTTGGCTATTTTATTATTTTATACGAATTCTGATCAAGATCGAACTAAATATTTCCACAATAATTCGGTACTGAGTGACTAGTGTGCTTGTGGAGAAGATTTGTAACTCAAGTGGATGATTTAGAAATAGTTGTGTTCTCTAAGCTGATTGGTTTAATTACCGAGCTCTCGTCATCCTTCTGGACAAAGTCTTCAGAGCAAATTTTAGCATAAAATGAATTCATTTGAATTCGCCATGAATGATGATAGAATTGTGTCTCCTGGCGACCGTCTTCTTGATTCGTAATCGACATTATCCCAGCCTTGAAATCGGTGTCAATAATTATCTACATGCATTGATATGAAAGAACATATATTACGTCTTTTTTTCAGCTAATTTGTGTTCTTTGATTCTGATTCGAAGGAGATACCCACTTTGACCGACGTAACGTCTGTTACAGTTCATACAGTTTATTTTGTAACTGGTAATAATTTGATCTTCTTTTTCTGTTGAATATTTCGGTTTGCACAATATCGAATCAAGTGACTGTGTTGGCTGGCTGACTGGCTGGCTTATGTGATTTATCTATTTCAAACGGTTTCTATATTCTAGCTGTTATTTCAGAGATATTTTCTCTGATATATGGTAGAATGAATTTTCTTGTAGTCTTTGATGATGGTTTCTTGTTGGTTTTATGACTCTATTTTAAACACTTTTTGATGAAATTGTGAAGAGGATATCCATTCTTTTTGAAAACAAACGGTTAGTAGGTATTTTTCCTCCATTCTCTTCAACAAAAGAGTAGATCTACAGTGCGTTTGAACTCTTTTAAACAATGTTTAAAAGATTTCCCTTTAAAACTGTTTTCTATAGTGGGAGGAATAGGGTGGAATAAAAAAACTGTAAAATGGAAGTTTCGAAGTTGTGTAGTCACAATCGATGATATGATTATGAAGAATGAATTGTATTCGAAACATCAACCAGCAAGGAATACTATTTTACTGTATTAGATTTGTCTGATTTCCCACAAACTGGAAGATAGACAAGTGAGAAGCAACAAGTTAGCAGAAGAAACGTCAAAGATAGAACTTCCTTCAGGTGTACATAGAGAAAAAAGAGGTAGGTGATGAAGATTCTTGGCCAACAGCAATAGCAACAACAGGCAACAATCAGCCAGCATGAATGACAGAAATCTGAGAGAAGCAACCTCCTTCGCCTACCTACTTTGGAAACATCGTTTCAACCACAGTCAGACGGAACTGATGAGGATATCAAAGTGACGATCGGGAAAGCAAGGCAAGCTTTCATTTCTCTCAAGTCTGTGTGGAGATCAACGGCACTCCTCAGCATGAGAAATAAGATCCGGATTTTCAACTCCAATGTCAAGTCAGTGCTACTCTACACAGATCAGAGACTTGGCGCGTCACGAAGGGCACTTTGAACGAACTACACACCGTCATCAACGGATGTCTTTGCTCAGTACCACTCAAGATCAGATGGCCACCCAGAAAAGATCAGCGACAGGAAGGGATCTCTAGGATTGAACCAACTCAGCAGGAACCAATTGTGTAAGAAATGTACAGGAAGAAATGCAGGTGGATTGGCTTGACCATACCCTGAGAGAAAAAACCATCAAGTGACATCACAAACCATGCCATCACTCGGGTGGAACCCAAACAGGGAGCGGCGACTTGGTTGTCAGTGCGAGAGTGACATAGAGGAGGAGATGACGTGAAGAGGAGATGAAAGCATATGGGGAGACGTGGAGTCAGGTGAAAAGGTTGGTGGAGAACCGAACACAATGGAGACATGCGGCTGAAGCCGTATGTTACTCTAGGAACTAAAAGAAACAGTAATAATACAATAATCTGATGAAAATTCGATGAATTCAGATGAATTCATATTACCACTTAAAAGGTGTTCTTATCTCATTATTCAAACTTGTCAAGGGAACCACTTTATATGAAATGTAATAGAATTGTTGGAAAAGCAATAGAGACTGACATTTAGGTTCATCAATTTTAAGAAACCATATTAGACAACGTTGTCATTACATACTGTTTCCAATAATTCGTCAAACCGTTGAAATGTTTACTTAAATGTAATAATTTTGTTTAAATTAATGGCATTTACACGCGGGAAATTTGAACCCGAAAAAAAACATGATTAGAAGTTATTATTATCATTATTGATTTAAGTGAACTGTTATCTTCCCGTCGATTAATTGGACTGAAATATTCGGCCTCTGTTTACATGTCAGTTAGCTCCTACCTAGTATGGATACTTTGAAGATGTCTAAACATCACCATGAAGTAATTTGCTGGGAGGTGACTAGCAGTGGGGTCGTGGATGCATGTCTCTTCTTATCTGGGACTCTACATCTGGATGTGCCTGCACTTACGCCCAGTGAAACTTGAACCCAGTAGTTATCGTTTACAAACTCTAAAGCGCCATCTACTAAACTAGATCGCCCAAGAGAATCACCTCAATGGGTACAATGGGTGTCAGTTATTATTACACACACTCATCTGTTGAATGGCAAATCATATAATAATAAATTTTTATTATCTCGTATTATCACCAATGATATTCCTAATTGTGGTTGACTGGATTATGCGTCAGACAGTGGGAAACGAGAAGACAGGGATATCCTGGACCGACGTGAAGAACCTGGAAGACCTGGATTTCGTGCGTGGATGATTTATGTTTGATGTCACACAAAATCGAAGACTTACAAGCGAAAACCGACAAACTGGTCGAAGAAGCAGCCAGAGAAGACAGGACTCCAGGTGAACATAGACTAGATGGAGGTTATGAAAATAACCAGCCAACCAACAACAACAACAGCAGCAGCAACATCCAGTACCAAACACCATCAGTGGGAGGGATTTGAAAGAGGTTACTTCATTCACTTACTTATCTAGGGAGCATTGTCTCAACTACAGGAGGAACGGACGAGGATGTCAAATAGAGAATCGGGAAGGCGAGAAACACATTCATCAACCTGATACCAATATGGAAATCTTCGTCACTCAACTCAGCATCAACAACAAAGTGATTCGGATTTTCAATACAAACGACGTCAAGTCAGTCAGTTCTTCTATACGGATGGATCAGAAACTTGGCCAGTGTGTCACAAAGAATATTTCCAACAGCCTGTTGCAGACCTTTATCAACAACTACTGTCTTCGCTGGCTCTATACTGAAGATCAGATGGCCGGAAAGAAAGAAAGACCAACAAGAAACTATGGGAATAAACAAAACAAGAACCAATCGCTCAACAAATATGTATGAGAAAGTGGAGATGGATTAGAAACTCACTGAGGAGACCGCTGGTTGACATCACGCGTCAAGCCCTAGCTCGAGTGGAACCCGCCGAAATGGAAGCGGCGAGTGGGACGTCCAATGGTGACATGGAGGAGATCATGTGAAGAAGAGTTGAAACAGTATGGACTACCATGGATGCAAGTGAAAAGTACAGCAGAAGACAGAAGCAAGTGGAGACGTTGAAGCAGTTGAAGCCCTATGTTCCACTAGGAACCCAAGGGAACAATAATAATAATAATTTATTATCTCGTCTATTGACTTACCGCATATTCTACTTCTTCTATATTTGAATTCGGTAGAAATTTGATTAATCTTTGAACATAAATCAGTACCATTGGCAATAGTCTGACTAAACTTTCTTGTCCCATACTTTCTCCAATTGATTCTGGCCATGTTTCAAATTTTTTTGATGGATCAAGTAAAATGTTGTTATCATTTTCATGAAGTGGATTTTCATCCCTTCTGCTTGTATCACGTTCACATTTCAAGCGTAAAAGTTCACGAGATAGGTAAAGACCAGCTGCACACTTAACAATAGCTGAAATTCCGACTGTTGATGATTCAGTTAGAATTAATTCAAAGAGATAACGACATATCAATTCCACCTATTAAGATTAAAATACAATTGGATTATATTTGTATATCTCAATATATACATGTATATATATATATATATATATGTATACATATATATAGATGGCAAAGTAATATTTTAACTTATGAAAAATTCCCATGGTAACATATAGAAAATCAAAACAAGTGGTGATTCATCGAAGAGTCTCTTTTCATCAAGCTGTACAATCGTATATATATGGTTTTTAATAAGTTATATCCGGTGAGGGAATTGAATCATAGGTGTGAATGCATAAAATAATAATAAAACGTTTTATAGATAAGAATATACATTAAAATCCTAAAAAACGTGACTTATCAACCGTACCCAAGAAGATACTCTACATGAGCTTGGAATTCAAAGGCAGCTTAGCCTCAGATATCATGAAACGAAGGAAATCACAGTCCCTGAGAAGAACATTCACTGCTGCATCTCTGAGAATAGCCTTTACCAGTCGACCATTACTGTCCAATAACCTGAAGGACAAGGTCCCACTGTTCACTAACTCTATGTGTGTTTATCAATTCACCTGCTCATGTGGAGCTAGGCATATCGGTCGTTCGACACGAGTTTTGTCCAAGAGGGTGCAAGAACACTATCCTGCATGGTTACGAAGAGATGGAAGTGGAGCAATAAGAAGCGCGATCATTGAACATCTGGTCGATAATGATCACCCTATCTCTATAGCCTCCGCCTTCAAAGTCATCTACAAGGCAAAGAGTAATTTACCCAAATCCCTACGTACCCGACTCATCTGTATTGCTGAAGCTTTGACTATCAAAACAGAAAAGCCAGATCTTTGTGTACAGAAAAAGTTCGTTCAACCCCTCCAACTTTCATGGTCCTTATCCCTCTATGTTAAAGTATGGTAATCCCCAATCATATTTTGGCTCTGCCAATTTTTCACTTTTCATTTTTTTCATTTTGTCTATTCGGTTTGTATTCTTTCCCTTATTACGTCAATTTTTACTATTACTACTCTCACTTTTAGTTGTCCCCGGTATTATTTCACTTGTTCCACTTGTCATTCTTAATCAATTCTGTTCCGCAACATTAAATTCTATGCTATTAAATTTCACACAATATTACGTAACGTTTTTATTTTATTTTATTCGATTTGTTTACTAATCCTATAATTGCACACCCTTTCCAAGTTCAATCCATCCTATGAATTATTCTATATATGACATTAATTTGCTTTGCCACTTGACATTTAACTACGATTATAATCACAAACATTTTTGGTTTTAATTAAATTTCATATTATTATTATTATTTTATGCATTCACACTTAAGATTCAATTCCCTTACCGGATATAGCTTATTAAAAACCCTATATATATATATACGATTGTACAGCTTGATGATAAATTCGTTGAAAAGAGACTCTTCGCTGAATCACTTGTTTTGATTTTCTAAAAGTAATATTTCCTCATGAGCACTCATGGGTCAACTACGCCTGTGGTTAGAGGTTCGATTCCCGGTCACCGAAACTCTCCTAAACCTCTCTAGTAAGTGCAATAAAGAGGGAAGGTTGGGTATAAGGCTAGCAATCCCACGCTGTAAAAATAAAACCACTGCTACCGAAACTTCAAACCTCTAGCTTGAAGCCCTTTATGTTCTACTGGGAACGTGAAGGAATAAAGTAAAAAAATAACGTCCTCAACGGAACATAGGGCTTCAAGATACAGCCTTGAAGTTTCGATAGCAGTAGTTTTCACTTTTTTCACGGTATGGTTGCTAGACTCACGCCCAACCATCCCTCTTTACCGGCCTTACTGCCGATATATACAGGTTAAGGAGGGTGTTGGCTGGATATCAAACTCTGGACCACGTAAGGTGTTGTTGGCGAGCGTTCTACAGCTCAACCACGGATGTTTAGCACAATAACTAGATAGTATTATTTCCTGAATAATCCTCACTTGAGGTTGAATAAAAACAAGACAAGTAGTCCTCAGTGAAGAGTCTCTTTTCGGCGAATTCATTTTCTCCTGTTTAGCTGTACAGTCACATTTATATGCAACTTTTTCTCGCAAAAGTGGATCCCAAAAAGAGGATGAGTCATAGTGAAAATAGTTGCTAACATTAATCAATACATATGAAAAGTTGAATAAGGGCGATAGAATTACGTAATGAGACAAACAAATTATAAGTGATATTTTTTATTGGACACTAGTCAGTAACTTGTGTAATGTGTCTAGTCCTATATTCGATGCAGACTGAATTCTATCAGTCAAGTTCGCAATGTGGCCACCATGCTAGGTGGCTCGCCATCACGGTGCACTATGAATCGTTGGTATTAGGTGGTTGAAGGCAATTGGCCACAGGAAGCATTGCTTGACCTAGGGGTTTCATGCTAGTTGGCACTCACCAGTCAAGTAAGGCATATCTGCAACGTCGAAGGTCCAAGGCTTCCTGTGGCCGATCGACTCCAGCCATCTAAAACCAACAATCCACAGTGCACCCTGATGGCGAGTCACCTAGCATGGTGGTCACATTGTAAGCTTGACTGATAGAATTCAGCCTGCATCGAAGATAGGACTAGAAACATTACACTAGTTACTGACTAGTGTCCAATCTAAGTGTTCAATACAGTCCTACAGGAGATCAACCGCGAGCCCGAATAGCTCAGTTTCAACGTCTTTGACTGCAGCACTGGGTGACGCCAGTTCAAATCACAGGAGGGACATGAGTTCCTTGACGGTTGCAGATACACCTTGCTGACTGGTGAGTGCCAACTAGCACGAAACCTGGGTCAAGCAAGGCTTCCTGTGGCCGACTGTCTCCAACCATATAATTTAATAAGTGAATTGTAATCAAGATGCATATATAAATAGATGAAATTCTATGTCACAAAAGAGTTCAGGAGGATAGATGAGTCAGAAAAGAGTCACAGAAGCAAATGAACCCTTACCATAATAATCAATAAAAGGCTTTATTTTGTATACACAGGTCCAGTCTCTCCATCTGGATGACTAGAACTTCAGCGGTGAAAAAAGGAGGCAAAAGCATATCGTCTTAGACAGGTTACTTGTCACTTCGTAGATCACTTTGAAGAAGGAATTTGTTGAAACAGAGTGACCAGTGTCTACAACGTGTTCAATTGTTGCGCTTGTTACAAAGCCCCTATTACTACCTTTCTGAAACCTTGAGAGATATTGTTCTTAGACCCTTATAAACACGATCTGCGTTGAACGACCGATAAACCTGGCTCTGCTGAAACAGGTGAAATGAAATATACAAGTTGAAGTAGTCACATGTTTTATCTCGTTCTTTAGGCTTCTGCAGACCAATAGACAGAGACTGAAGAACAATAGTCTTAGCGTTGCTGTGAATGAAATTTCTTCCTAAAGAAGCTGAAATTCTCCTCTCAGGCACATCAATAAGTAGGTCACCCTTGAAGTCGAGGTCCAGGTAAAGTTTCTATTTTCAAAATGATGATAATAATATTATAATGATAATTTGCTTTATTCCAAAACAGTACTTGTGATACAGAATAGAATTCTCAGCATTTCACTACAGTATTGCATCCAGTTAGTACATTATCAATAAATAAAATTCCACATAGATTAAGGAAATCTCAGTTCATTATGACAACAACATATTGGCATGTTGGTAGCAAAGCCAAAGTTGAACAGTGTTTGAAGTTGTTAGAAAAGTAGGAGCTATCATATTTACTGGCGTAAGCGAGAGAAAGAAACAAAGCAGCACATAACGGAAAAAAGAGAGAGAAAAGGAAAAGAAAGAAAGAAAACGTTGTACCTATAAATGATATGAGTTGGAAAGACGAGGTCCAGTTGTACTATTGACTACTTAATGGATTATAGGTGTCACGCCTAATGCTTTCTTTATCGCACAGGACGCGAGCTAAGTAGGGTATGGTTGAGTTTTGTATTTGTTGGTGCGAGCATATAGTTTTCTATATAGGCTTCTGGTTTTGCCTGATGAGATGCAAGGGGAGAGTTGTGAGTGAAGAGGGTGGTATGAGTTAGATAAAATGGATTTGGCACATTTTTCACATGAGTCCATGTGCCTGTCAACCAGAATATTAACAAGTTGGTTAAGTGACACGTTGCTTACCCTGCTGACAACCTTTAACATCCTGTGTAATATGTTATAGTCTTTCTTCAGTAGCCCGAGAAAAACTAAGGGGGGACAATAGAGAATAATAGGCAGAATGCAAGAGTTAACTCATTGTAGGAATAAGGGTTGGATTATACCAGAATGTTTTAACTTCTTGATGTAGAAGGTAAGAAGGAATATTTTCTTAGAAATCGTCAAGACATGAGACGACCAGGAAAGATCAGTAGACAGAATGATGCCTAGGCATTTAATTTCCGACTTGGTTTCTATTTCAGTGCCATCTATGTTGCATACCTCGTGAGAGCCAACCAGTTTGTTTAGGTCGGATTTATGCCTCAAGGTGAAATCGACTGTTTAGCATTTGGAGGGGTTTAAGGTAAGATCATTTTCCTTGCACCACTGGCTGATTTCTGACAGGAAGCCACTAATTTTAGAGCAGTCACTTTGACATTTGAAAGGCAAAGGTACTGTCAGGTCGTCAGCATATTTGACAAAATTAATGTCATTTGAAGATGATAAGTCATGTAGAAAGAAAGAAAAGAGAAGTGGGGAGAGTACATCACCTTGGGGGGATGTCTCCTGTCTTTGAATTTTCTGCTTGATGTTCCTGTCAATAAATCTCGGTGGATATCGATTATGGATTATAGATTTCTTTCAAAAAGTCTAATTCTTCTTCCAAAGTATCGAGGCTGCAGACGCATAGGTCGCGACACAACTTTAATAATATATACAGGATGGAATTTGCAAGTTTTACGGTGTGGAGGAGATGAGAGACCATGCGTAATCGTAGTGTCAGAAGAAGAGGATCGCAGAAGATAGGACAAACTGGAGAAGTGCCATTGAATCCCCATATTCCACTCGGAACCTAAGGGGGCAACAGTAAATAGTAACAACCAAACAACTACGGATAATTTTTCCTTAGTCTTCAGTTACTATTTCAGTGAGACATTTAAACACTTAAATGTTTCCTGTCCCTTGAATTTCTGACGTAATCTGTAAAAATCATTTGTACAGTTTACTACAACAAAAATCGTCACGTCACATCGTCAGGGTAGCAATATATACACATAGATATGTATGTATGACACTGTAAACTTTACCTTAGTTTTCCCATCAACTGTTAAATCAGCACACGCTAGAATTCCTCTATCCAAAAAATGATGTGGTAAAGGTATATTTATTTCAAAGTCCAGTGCTTGTAACATTTCACATTCACACCGTAACAGCTTTTAAAAAAATGGAAAGAATAATGAGAAAAGAAAGTATTAAATAAATTCATGATTTCATTTTTTAAGTTTAAGTACTGAAAATGTTATCTAGGAAGACAATGAAACTTTTTTGTCATTGAAATATTCAGTTAAGAAAATAGACAATTACCAAAAAAATAGGGTCTGAACTTCGCCGATGATATATGTCTGATTGCATACGCAATGGAAGATATGCAAGTGAAAAGTAACAAATCAGCAGACGAACTATCCAGAGAAGATACGACTTCCTTCGGGTGAATATAGAGAAAACAGAGGTGGGTAATGAAGACTCCTGGCCAACAGCAACAGCAACAATTACAAAAAAAACAACCAACAATCAGCCAGTATAAATGGGAGAAATCTGAAAGAAGCAACCTCCTTCACCTACCTAACTAGCTACCTACCTACCTGAGAAGCGTCGTTTCAACTACAGGCAGACGGAACTGACTAGGGTGTCAAAGCAAGGATTGCGAAAGCAAGTCAAGCTTTCATCACTCTCAAGTCTGTGTGGAGGTCAACAGCACTCCTCAGCATGAAAATTTAAATAAGATCCGGATTTTCAACTCCACTGTGAAGTCAGTGCTACTCACTGTACGGATCAGAGACTTGGCGCCGTGCCATATCATGAAGGCCACTTCGAACAAACTGTAGACCTTCATCAACAGCTTTCTTCGCTCAATACTACACAAAATCCGATGGCCAGCCAGAAACGATCAGCAACAGGGAGTGATCTCTGGGAGCGAACCAAACCATCAGGAACCAACTGTGAAAGAAATATGCAGGGAGAAATGGAGGTGGATTGGCTAGTCATACTCTGAGAAAGCAAACCATCAAGTGAGTGACATCAAACGCCAGGCTATCGCTCGAGTGGAACCCGAATGTGAAGCAGCGAGTTGGTCCTGAGTGCGTGGTTGGTATAGAGGACGAGGCGATGTGAAGAGGAGACGAAAGTATATGGTTGGATGGAGAGCCAGGTGAAAATGGGTTCGGAGAATCAAACACAATGGAGACGTCCGGCTGAAGTCATATGTTCTTCTAGAAACTGAGGGAAACAATCATTTTTTTATCACAGCTTGATTCCACACCGTATTTTTTGGTACATTTATGGAATTTTCAGCATGGATATCGGTAGCCCAAATTTTGCAGGCCGACCATAGATATCGGATGTGCGTCGGCAGGTGATCGAACCCCGGACCGTGTGCATGGTCGGCGAGAGTCCTAACCACTGTGCCACCGACGCACTAATACTCGCTTCTTCGATTACCATTAATGGCATCAATCAGATCACATCCTATAACCTGGATAATTTGGTTTCCTAAGTTATTATTATTGTTTCCTTTAATTCCTAGAGGAAAATAGGGCTTCAGCCGTGCGTCTCCATTGCGTTCGGTTCTCTACTAGAGTCTTCACCTGACTCCGAGTCTGCCCACACGTTTTCATCTCCTCTTTACATGACCCCCTCCACGTCACCCTTGCACTGACGACCAACTCACCACTTCCCTTTCGCGTTCCACTCGAGCAATGGCTTGTCTAGTGATGTCACTTGATGGTTTCCTCAGAGTGTGGCCAATCCACCTACATTTCTTCCTGCCTCTTTGTTTCACAATCGGTTCCTGCCAGGTTGGTTCGCTCATTGCCAGAGATCTCTGTTGCTGATCTTTTCTGGCCGGCCATCTGATCTTGAGTAATATTGAGCGAAGACAACTGTTAATGAAGGTCTGTAGTTTGTTTGAGATGCTCTTTATGACTCGCAGTGCAAGTCTCTGATCCGTATAGTAGCACTGACTGACTTCACATTGGAGTTGAAAATCCGGATCTTATTCTCATTTTCATTCTGAGTGCTGTTGATCTCCACACAGACTTGAGAGTAGTGAAAGCTTGCCTTGCTTTTCCGATCCCTGCCTTGATATCCTTGTCAGTTCCGTTCGCCTGTAGTTGAAGCGATGCTTCCCAGGTGGGTGTGTAGGTAAAGGAGGTTGTTTCTTTCAGGTTCCTCCCATTTATGCTGATTGTTGCCTGTTGTTGTTGCTGTTGGTGGTGTTGCCCAGGTTTCCTAGGTAAACTATATGAATTCCCAATTGTGAATTAATTTGACAATTACAGCATCGACCAAGAGCTGAGGAGTGTTGTTGATCTCCACACAGACTTGAGATTTTATTAAACCATAATTCATCCATTCTGATATTTCCAGTCCAGAAGAGACAAACATCAGTAATAGCAGTAATAACAGCACCCATAAAACATAATAAAGTATTGCATCAACCTTTAGAAATATAATTGAGTGTATAATCAATATTACCTGTTTAGCATTGTATGTATCCTCAGTTAAATAGCACAGTGTTTTTGTCGAAGGTGGAAACCGTTCAACAAATTTAGCTGCAATAAATATTGCTGTAATTCCAAACAGTTGATATTCTGTTGCCTCCAAACTATTCTGTCTCCATGTATACTGATCAACTAGATTAACAGCTAGATGAAGAGATTCCGTACGTAGATGCAAATAATGTTGTACCTGTAAATGTAAAAAATAATGAATGTGGAAATAAGATGAGACTTCATGAGACTGACTTCCTAACTTAATGACCAATTCAAGTATTAGTTTGTAGGGATTTGATTGATTGGTTACAGGGTTTCATCATGAGCTGAAATTGGTTAGAGAACCATTGGAAAACCAACAGGAAGTACTGGACAGCTGTTTCATCCTAGTGATCTGAACTCCTCATCAGCACGCGCCCACTACAAGGGGTTCGAACCGAGAGCCTTCTGGTTACAAGGCCATCGAGCACGTAGACCATTAAGCTACTGGGACCTGATGCACTGGCCCATGAATTGGCAGTTACCGGGGGTTTTAGTGGGATTCGTGACCAGTAGGGTGCAGCAGGTAGGGCATGAGGACAAATATTCGCCAAAGACATTGGCTAGCGGTCGCTCTATGTCGTGAATTGGCAGATCAGTGATTACTGTACTTTAGCATGAAAGGATTAATATCATGAAAGTTGAAAGGGTTGAACAAACTTTTTCTGTATACACAGATCTGGCTTTTCTGTTTCGATAGTCAAAGCTTCAGCAATACAGGTAAGTAGGATACGTAATGATTTCGGCGAACTATTTTCCACCTTGTAGGTAACTTTAAAGGCTGTGGCTGTAGAGACAGGGTGATTAGTATAGACCAGATGTTCAATGACTGTGCTTATTATAGCTCCATTTCCACCTCTTCGTAACCATCCTGGTTAGGGTTCTCGCATACTCTTTGACAAGATCCAAGTCGAATAACCGATATATCTGTCTATACACTCGCGGGATGAATTGATAAACATACTAAGAGTTGGTCAACTGCGGGATGTTGTCCTTCAGGTTATTGAACAGTAATAGTCGACTGGTAAACGTTATTCCCAAAGATGGAGCGGGGAAATTTCTTTCCAGGAATTGTGAGATCCTTCTTTTCATGATATCGAAAGCTAATTCACCTTTGAATCCCAAGCGTATGTACAGAATTTTCGTGTGTACGGATGATAAGTCACATTTCATAGGTTTTGACTGTGTGTTCTTGTCCATAAAACGTGGTGGAAATCCATTTTATATTAGGATTTTCCTCAAAAGATATAACTCATCTTCCACAGTATCAGGGCTGCATATGCGCCGAATTAGAGTGGCAAGCGACCGGATTAGGTTTCATTTTCGACCAATTTGTCAGTTGACCATTTCATGACAGCTTTCTATAAATCGATGTCTTCAGAGTTCCATCAGTTTTCCTTGGTAAATTCACACCAGGTAAATGAATACTAGACTCTTTCTCCATTTAAAGGAGTGTAATGGGATTCTGATGACAGTTTAGAGATAAAATAAAACCTACTATTGTCTGATCTCATTACTAGTTATTAGAAATTACACAATAGTGACATGCAGGAAAACAGGATAATTATGCTACCTAGCTGCTCAAACCTCGATAGGTAGGGGGGTGGCGGGAGAAAGCGAAATCTTGATCCAGTTATTGGAGGTTTACAGCCTCATCCAGTGAATTATGATGAGATGGTTGGAGGCAGTCGTGAGGAAACCCTGTCGATACCTAGGTTACTTGACTATTGGCATTCACTAGTCAGCAAGGTGTACCTACAATCTCGAAAGAACTCAAGCCTCTTATGAAATCCAAGCCCAGATCATCCAATACCGCAGTCAGAGACGTCACCACTTTGATATTCGGGCTCTCAGTTGATATTCTGTATCATTGTAATGGACGCTTTCACTGGACACTAGGCAGCAATTAATATCGTGTGTCTAATCCTTCGTCTGATGCAGACTAAATTCTATCAGTCAAGTTTTTGCGATGTGCCCACCATGCTAAGTGGACCACCATCACAGTGTACTCAGGACTGCTGTTATCAGATGGTTAAAGGCAATCGTCAGGAAGCCTTAGACCTAGATTTCATGCTTGCTTGCTCTACATTATTACTTAATGTTAGTCTCCTGTGATAACATTTTCAATTTTTCGGCACAGTTCTTAATGAACTGGCGTAATTTGTGAATGCATCACACCGACCAAACTGTCTAACTAAAAGCTTTCAAAATCGGCACTTATATCCACAGTGAAGAAATAAAATCTGACGTGGCACCAGGTTTAAATGTTTTGAAAATATTCTGGTTTATCAGAGAAAGTTTACAATTTTTGATTAACATTTGAACTTTTCAACATTGTTACTCACACTAATGATTTAATAGATAAGGCAGATAGATATTGATTTTTATTCCTCATCTGACCTCTCCTTACTCTTTACGCTTACATATTTCCCTGATTGTGAATCGTTATGACACAGTTCTATTGTCTATTTTGTTAACTCCTGATGACAGTTCGTCAGATGGAATTCCCTCTGGAAACCGCATAGTATTTTCGATAAGTCCTTTGTTCAGGATTTCAGCATTGCTCAACCGTCTAGTCCATTTGATCACAAATTCAACTGTTGATCACTGGTTACAGGATTTCATCATGAGCTGACATGAGTCAGAGAACCATTGAAAAACCTGGGAGTACTGGACATCTGTTTCGTCAGTCTAGTTTGGGACTCTGCTTTAGCAGTACGCACCCACCAGGGTTCGAACCCTGCATTGATTATTGTTTCAAATTTCTTAGAATAAATCTAAACCTGAAAGATTAAACTACTGTTTCTTTTCAAATTCGACCACCGACCGATATCAGTTAGAGAATCACTGAAAACTAGAGGGTACTGGATAGCTGTTTCGTCCTAGTTTGGAACTTGTCATCAGCACGCGCTTACGTGGATTTGAACTCAGGACCTTCCATTTACAAGGCGAGCTCATAGACCATTCAGCTACTGGCTACATTATGCAGATGTCTTACTTTGAATGATGCCAATTTACCCACTTCTTGTGATCCCCCAGATTTTAAAAGTCCTTCATGAGCTCATGTGTAAAGTTTGATTACTGAAGCCTTAAAGATGTTGCCAAATAGCTCTTATGGTCTTGAATATCTCTTCTTTTACATTTGAATTCAGAAGGTAGCACTGTGATGCACTGGTTTCATTACGCATACAAGAAAGGTACAGATAAAACCCAATGATCAGGTTGTTCCATGAAAGATACTCAGGAAACTCAAGACGCTCCACAGATGGCACAACCGCGGTTTCTTCACACTTGTTCCGTTTTGTAGATAGTGGCTAGCATTGGCAACCGGGTACATCCACAGCTAACAGATTCCCAGTTGGATAAAAGCATGCATGTTCCCATAAATGATGTGGTACGGATGAGGGTCAGTGGACTTTAGTCCTCCTCTAGAAACGCTGTTAGGCGACCATCCCTTCATGGACTCAACAGGAGTGTTCCTCAAAAAAGTGACAGGGCGAATGTTGACTAGTAGACACTCTGGTCTACTCAGAGTAAACTAGCAAAGCCTGATTCCAAACCTTTGGTGTACATGAACTGCAGAATCCGAAAGGACCGAATAACGTATGAACCTGTTTTGGTGGCTGTCAACCATGAGAATGTAGCCTGTGATGCTGCTCCACTGCTATGTGGATCAAACTTCAGTTCAAAGAATCAAGGAGTAGTCTCTTCGAACACCCACCTATTTCAGTCTGGCCGGCTGAAAAGCATCCTAGCCCTAGCACGAATTATGAAACTTTTTGTTTGAGGCATCTCTTGGCGGCCATAATATAACAATTGTGTATTTTAATAATGAGCGCTAGTCGTTGCTATCAGAATGCACACTAAAGATATTATCATGGTGTTAGTTCTAAATTTATCTAACAGTGATAGTAGAAAACGTCATCAAGGAATTAAAATTTTGAATAGGTCTTACCTTGATCATCCAATCACATAGAGTTGATCTGAGTGTATCTGATAAGCCGAGACGTTCTAAAAAGTTCACTTGATAATATGGTCTTGATTTTAAATCTTGTGTGAATAAATAACGAAAAATCTAAAAATTAAATCAATAAAAAAGATGGCGAATGACGGATTGATTGGTTCACTCATTTATCACTATTACTATTATTATTATTACCCCGTGTTCATGTTCAATATTCAAGGCAAAATTCATCAGTTAATGGTTGCATTTTAAACAGTGACCTTCAGACGGCAAATTCATAAAGGAGTAAGACAAGGCTCCGCGCCTATTAATAATAATTTGCTTTATTCCAGAAACAGTACTAGTGGTACAGTGTGGAATTTTCAGCACAACTTCGTTGTGTTTTTCTGGAGAGATTTGAGAGGATATTAGAGTGATATCTGCTATATATCTTGGGTAATATCTGAATAATACAATGATCAGACTTCATTGTAGGAGCATGTCTGCGTGCTTCATATATTTCCGCATCATTAGTAAATACTAGATCCAGCGTTTTATCAAGTCAAGTTGGAAATTCGACAATATTAACATGACCTAATGATTCAAGAAAAGAACAGTCGCAGGTATTGAAATCTCCTGTGACAACTGATAAAGAGTTTTCAAGATGTGTGACAGCGAGTGCTGTGAATTCATCGGCAAAATCAGATAGATCCGAGGCGGAACAGCCAGGAGTAACATAAATGTTTGAGATGAAGACGTATTTTAACTTGAATAGGTGTTTCGGACGACATTTGACTGTTATACAATCAATAAAGTCACTAGAGAAAGAAAAACATACATTATTTGAAGTTGACCACTGAGAATGAATGAAAGTTGCAACAACTCCAACTCCTTTCTTTCTAGAGTATAGTCGATCTTGTCTAAATAATGTAAAACCATTTAGAGAAACCAAGTTGTCATCCTAAAGATCATGGAGCCATGTTTCTTGCAATGCAACTATCGCCGTATTGTGGTAAGTATCAGATGATAAGAGAGACTGGAGATGCATAATTTTGTTGGGAAGTGAACGGCAGTTTGAACTGACAATAACAGGAATAGTTGTGCGATATAATGGTGTCCGTTTGAGAGCACGTTGCCAACCACCATGATGTTTTCTCTTAGTTTTATTAGATGCATGAAAGTCATATGGTTTAAAACATTTAATGAATTCATTGCTGTATTTGATACGATTTGTGATCATATTTTGTTAAAATTAAAAATTAAAACATGATGTATTAGATGCAAATATGTAGATGTACAGAAAGGTAGCCCAGGTGTTAAACAGGCCGCCAAGGTCCGATGATATTCCTAATTGTTGTTGACTGGATTATGCGTCAGACTTTGGGAAGCGAGGAGTCAGGAAGACGCCGGACTACCGATAAGAAGACTCTGGAAGATCTGGATTTCGCAGATGACATATGTCTAATGTCAGACCAACTCGAAGACTTGCAGGCTAAAACTAACAAACTGGCAGAAGAGGCAGCGCTAAAAATAGGGCTGCAGGTGAAGCCAGAGAAGATGGAGGTGATGAAGATAACCAGTCAACATCAAAAACAACCAGCATCAATCACCGTCAGCGGGAGAGATTGGACAGAGGTTACTTTCCTCACTTATCTAGGAAGCATCGTCTCAACTACGGCAGGAACGGACGAAGATGTCAAAGTCAGTCACAATCGGAAAGTCAAGATACTCTTTCATCAACCTGAAACCAATTCAGAAATCTTTGGCACTCAACATAAGGAACAAGATTCGCATTTTCAACACCAATGTCAAGTCAGTCAGTTCTTCTATACGGGTCAGAAACTTGACGAGTGTGTCACGAAAGGGATTTCCAACAGGCTGCTTCAGACTTTCATCAACAACTGCCTTCGCTGGCTCCATTCTGAAGATGAAATAGCCAGCCAGAAAGAATAAGCAACAAGAAACTGTGAAGTGGAACAAACCAAAAAGCAAGAGCCGGTGACTCAACAAATATGTAAGAGAAAGTGGAGATGAGTCGTGCATACATTGAGGAGGCCGCCAAATGACATCGCTATCAATGCAGATCATAGCTCGAGTGGAATCCAAATGGGGAGTGATGTGTGGGTCGTCAGTGATGAGGTGACATGGATGAGATTGCGTGAGGAAGAGATGAGAGAACTTGGTGAATTGTAGACCCAGCTGAAGAGGATGGCAGAAAACAAAAGAAAGTGGCGATATATTGTTGAAGCCCTATGTTCAAGCCCCACTCGGAATGCAAAGGGATAATAATAATAGGACTAATTAGCGCTATTTTCAAAATCCCTTATGACTAGAAAAGGGCGTAGAGAGGAGTGATCTCGTACGCTGTATAGCAAATGACACAACAAATATTCCAACTTAGAGAACAGTCACTTTGGAAGAACAGAAAGAAGGACATATCTACGATTTTCTGAACATATACCCAAAAAGCCTATATCTCAAGGGGACAAATGCTTTAAACAGTGCTATTGCCAGGCATCTCCTTAACATAGGCCATGAGGTGGACGTTGTAAGATCGTTCAAAATTATCAAAGACAAAAGAGTTCAATTATCCTCAAGTTTACCAAAGCGATCTCCATCAGGCGCCTGAAACCTGATTTATGCATTCAGAAATAAGCAGTTAACAGTCTTTCCTTGCCCTGCTTCCTGCTAACTAGATGTTTTCATCTTCTCTTCCATATGATCACGTAATGCCGAAAGTTTCCATTTTGTATGATCATTATTCTTCAGGATAAAGTGTTTATTATTATTATTAAATATATATTATTATTGTATGCTTACATTGATTGATCGGTTTTTGTTTAAAAATGAATTCTGTTCAAGTATGTTAACATTGTTTCTGTAGATATACTTAAAAATGTCTTTAGGCTGTAAACAGTTGATGAGAAGCCAACGAAATACACAGTGATTCTACCATTTTATTCTGCGAAAACTGTTATTCTTGCTTTATTCAAATACATAAAGGAGCATAAATGTAATTCCATTATGGGTAAAATTTATTTTGATAAAGTCTCAGTCTAGGAATCACCATCGGCCGTGTAGAGAATAAGACGTGTAGTTCGCCAGCATTGAAAGTTCTTTCAACTGATTTTCTTAATTTCTTCGTAATTATCTCACTTGGTATATCACCCTTGAATTGCAGTCGTCTGTATAAAGAGGTTTCTTGTTTACAGATAGTGAGTAGTCCTTTTCCGCTTTCTTTGTCATGTGTTTGTTGATAAATTTGTCGGGATAGCTATTTTCGATCAAAGTATCATATACAATGCTTAATTCATCTTCAGTTGCTTCTTCTGAGCATATAGCTCTAACTAACTCTGTGGCTAAGAGTCTTCACTAAATTCCTTTTGTACTTGATGGGAACGAAGTTGTGAAAATGTGTATATTGTCCTGTCCAAGTACTTTTTCTGTGTAAATTTCTTTTTATGCTCCATCTGGTCTTCTTGTAAGGAGGACATCCAGGAAGGCAATTCTGTTTTAGGATTCCTCTTCGCATTTAAATTTCATAGCCGAATGTACTTCATTGAATTCAGTAATTATTGTACTCCTATCAGAACCGTTATCACAAAGAATAAAGGTATCATCCATATATCGGCAATAAAATGAGAGCTTACTGATAAGGTTGTTCAGAGGTCCATTTTCTAGCTTACTTAGAAAGAAATCAGCCAGAATGGGACCCAATGGGGAGCCCATTGCCACCGCGTCCACTTGCCTGTAAAGCGTGCCGTCAAATTTGAAGTTTACATTCATGGTACATCTTAATAACAATTCTGTTAGGCTTTCAATATGGATTCCAATGTTTGTCGACTGGTTATCCACTTGTTCACATATATAATTAACTGTTTCTATTAGAGGTACATTTGTGAATAACGATGTTATGTCCAGAGATATCATGGTTTTGTCCTTGACATTAATATGTTTTATTTTGTCTACTAATTCAAATACATCTTTGACGCTATATTTCACTGTCTTCTCATGCAATGGTTTGAGAATATTTACTAACCATCCAACTAGAGCATGGTAGGGCGAATTTCGCATACCAAGTATTGGTATTAACGGTACCCCTGGTAGGCCATACAATCAAGAAACACATGAAAAAGAAAGCGGAAAAGGACTACTCACTATCTGTAAACAAGAAGCCTCTTTATACAGACGACTGCAATTCAAGGGTGATATACCAAGTGAGATAATGACGAAGAAATTAAGAAAATCAGTTGAAAGAACTTTTAATGCTGGCGAACTACACGTCTTATTCTCTACACAACCGATGGTGCTACTTCGACTGAAAAATGAAGTACCTGGACTAGACTAGCCACTTCAAATTGTATCTACCAATTCAGCTGCGCTTGTGGAGCCAGTGATATTGGCCGTTTCTCTAGGAACTTGATTTTTGGTGCTCGCTTGAGAACATCTCCCACTATGGCTAAGTAAAGGTGTAGTTAAAACCATTAACAGTTAGATATTGGACCATCTGGTGCAAACCAACCACAAAACCAGCGTGGGAGAATCCTTCTCTATAATCCACCTGGTGCCTAATAAATTGCCAAAATCATCGAAGCACCGCATACTCCAAACAGCAGAGGCTATGGCGATTCGCCTCAAACAACCAGTGCTCAGTGTTCAAAAGAAGCAAGTCCAGCCAGCCACTACTACTGCCCTGGCCTTCAGTAGAGACTTTAAATTCATGAATTTGTAATATTATCTTTCCTAGTTTTTCTGACATTCAGTGTGTATTGTTATGTTGATGCTATTGAGCTATAATCTATCAATATTATTGACTCGATGTTATTTAAACAGCAATAATGTTGTTCATAACACTAATTCATTCACTCACTATAATGTGTATATATAACTATAGAGTCTGATGATGAAGTTATCGAAAAAAGTACTCTTTGTTCAGTATCCATTCTTTTGATAAATTATATTATTTTGTCTAATTGGGTCAACCCACAAGGTCCTTTAACCTTCACAGGTTATCCTACCTGAGTGAGTTTGTAGGTTTAAATGCCACTCTAAATGTATGAAGTATAAAAGACAGCCATTTTCAGCATTTCTCTAATGACAAAATATCAAATCACAAAAGACCGACTATTTTGGAGGGGAATTCAAATTGTAATCGATCGCCTTTGGTGTTTCCATTCAAACTGGTGAAATAAATTTGTTTTTGGCCATAATTAATATACTCAAATGTAGAAAACAAATATCAATAAAAGTTTCTAATCTTTTTCTTTTGGGAAACAGGCCTACTTGAAGAGGAAGTGTCTTGAAAATTCACTTCTTGTTCCGCCCACTCTAGTTCGTTCGTTACTTAGATATCATAGAAAGGATTTATAGATGATTTTGATGTGGTTGTGTTCTATGAGCTAGGAGGTTTATTTGCGTAGCTTTCGTTGCCCTACTAGGCAACATTTTCAGCGCATACTTCAAATTGAAGTTGCTTATTATGTTATTATTATGAATTAATAGAGATTTATAGCTCAGCTGGATGATTTGCAATTAGTGGTGTTCTCTGAGCTGGTTGATTTAGTTGAGGAGCTTTCGTCATCCTTATGGACAACATCATCCCACACTGAGATAGACCCAAGAGTCAAACTGGGAAAAACTGAGACCGGAACGAGAATTACACTTGCAACAACCCTTAGTAGACAAAATACACGGTGTATTGCATTCACAAACGCCTCATAAAATTGAGCCATAAATAGACGAATAGGAACTGTCCAATAAGCTTATCATGTCAGTACATGCATAAATCACGAATTCACGGCTAACAGAGAAGTTTATCCATCCTAACGAAGTCAGATGGGTTAATGTCACAAACAAGCAACAAAGAACCATGACGACGAACCAACCAACGGCATGCTGTCCAACAAACATTGCAGGAAAAGGTGGAGAGAGATTGGACATGCCCTCTGAATAGACATTCCAAGTGACGTCACACGCAGGGACTCAACTGAGCATATATACTGCAGTTTCACGAGAAATATCATGTGAAGAACACATGTAACCTTTTCAGCAGTCGTAGTGCCAGTTAAAAGTGATTGTATAGAATTGAATGCATTACAGATTTACTCCTAAAGCTTTAAGGATCCTCTCAGAAGAGAAGAGATGAATAATAGAAGATACATTTAAAATCATTGCCAACCAACTTACACGTCCATGATTCACATGAAATTCACCGACATTTAAATCGTCGATTGGAGATCTTGGCAAAGAAAGTGTAAATTGTTGATGGCAACCACATTCTCCTCCTCCTCCTCCATAGTAATCAAAACCGCCAACAGCACTATGACGTTGTCTTCTCATGAATAAAAAATCATTTTTTGCTGGATTTTTTGGAAAAATATCAATTTTTATGCCTTTTTCTTGCCCTCGTCCGTCTCCGCCTCCCGCTAAATCTCCTGGTAATTCATTGAAGAATAAGGCGGTCATAAGTTTTGTACTCTCTGTAATAAATAATCTTCTTGTAATGAAATTGGTGTTAGTGTAACAAATATCAGCTGGTTTACGTCGAAATTCATTGATCAGAGATAAATAGTTATGCTCATGCTCACTGAACGTATTGGTGTTTATTTCAATTAATGAAGGTTTGTGAAATTGTCTATATCTTATAATGTGATTACTGACTGATGATTTTGAGTTATCTAAAGTAGCAAAAAAAGCAGAAAAAAAGTAAAAAAAAGGTGAAATGAACTTTAGTCAACATCTGTAACTCTGTAGTCAAGTAAAATCCAACAGTATTATGATTACTGTTCCCTTGGGTTCCTAGTGGAACATAGGGCTTCAACTGCACGTCTCCACTTGCTTCTGTCTTCTGCTGTACTTTTCACTTGCATCCATGTTAATCCATACTGTTTCAATTCCTCTTCACACGATCTCCTCAATGTCACCCTTGGACGTCCCACTCACCGCTTCCCTTTCGAGTTCCACTCGAGCACTGGCCTGACTGACGCGCGATGTCACCCAACGGCCTCCTCAGCGAGTGTCCAATCCATCTCAACTTTCTCCTGCATATTTGTTGAGCGATTGGTTCTTGTTTTGTTTGTTCCCATAGTCTCTTGTATGTGATTCTTTCCGACCATCTGATCTTCAGTATAGAGCCAGCGAAGACAGCTGTTGATAAAGGTGTGCAACAGGCTGTTGGAAATATTCTTTGTGACACACTGGCCAAGTTTCTGATCCGTATAGAAGAACTGACTGACTTGACGTCGTTTGTATTGAAAATCCGAATCACTTTGTTGTTGATGAAGCTGAGTTGAGTGACGAAGATTTCCAGATTGGTTTCAGGTTGATGAATGTGTTTCTCGCCTTCCCGCCTCGATTCTCGATTTGACATCCTCGTCCGTTCCTCCTGTAGTTGAGACAATGCTCCTTAGATAAGTAAGTGAAAGAAGTAACCTCTTTCAAATCCCTCCCGTTGATGGTGATTGGCGGTGGATGTTGCTGCTGCTGTTGTTGTTGTTGTTGTTTTTGTTGGTTGGTTGGTTATTTTCATAACCTCCGTCTTTTCTATGTTCACGTGGAGTCCTGTCTTCACTGCCTGCTTCTTCGACCAGTTTGTCGGTTTTCGCTTGTAAGTCTTCGATTTTGTGTGACATCAAACATAAATCATCCGCAAAATCCAGGTCTTCTAGGTTCTTCATGTTGGTCCAGGATATCTCTGTCTTCTCCTTTCACACTGTCTGACGCATAATCCAGTCCACCCTAATAAGGAATATCATTGGTGATAATAAGCACCCTTGTCTGACTCCTGTGTTTACTCCAAACGCCTCGCTGAGTTTTCTGTTGTGGATCACTTGACATGTGCCGAAAATCCAACAGTAATCGAATCTATTTCACCTTATGATACAAGCTTTTTTTTCGAAATCTTGGCTTGTGAAGACACTTTATTTGTGCTTGTGAATATGTGATAGATTTGGTTACAGTGTGGTCAATTGTATTCAGAAGGTCAGAGAGGGGTTTCCACTCTTGACAGTAATCGACGGACTGGTAAACTTCAAATGCCAATAAGTTATTCCAGGGTTAGAACAGACGTTCAGTGATTTATCTATCCCATCATCCATATGACGCCTAGGGACTACCTACTCATGGTGATTATAATGAAATAGTGACCTTGATGTAGTTTCGTGGCTAGTGATTATCAGTGGAATACAAGATTTGCATTTCAACCTTTCTCAGACTTCTCATCTGGATGTACGTACATTCTTCATTGGGTAGTGGTGTTCCTACTGAAACACAAACCAAGTAGCCATGATCTCAAGTTCCAAAGTCTTATCCACTAGACTATATGGGTCAAGGGAGCCATCCCTGTGAGAGGGGGATCAGATGTTATTCGCTTAAATCAATTTTGATTTTCGAGTATTGGTTTTGCAGGGATCTTGTTTGATTGGATCGAGGATTTCATCATGAGCTGATTGATATCAGTTAGAGAACCATTGGAAAACCAACAGGGAGTACTGGACAGCTGTTTCGTCCTACTTTGGGACTCTTCATCAGCACTCATCCACCGCCAGGGCTAAAACTCAGGACCTTCTGGTTACAAGGCGAGCTCACAGACCATTGAGGCATTGGACACGATCCAATTCATGGGCCATTGGATTGGGTCCCAGTGGCTTAATAGTCTACGAGCTCGCTGGTCTTGCAACTAGAAGGTCCTGGGTTCGAGCTCTGGCGGTGGGTGCGTACTGTGAAGAGTCCCGAACTAGGACGAAACAGCTGTGCAGTACTCCCTGCAGGTTTTCCAATAGTTCTCTAACTGATGTCAGCTCATGATGAAATCCTCCATCCAATTTTGATTTTTCCTATTGATTGAGTGGACCAAAATGTTCAGTCTTTGTCAACATATCGGTCCCTGGCAGGGACGCTTTGATGATAATTGAGGAATAACTTAAAATAACGAAGATTACTGAGTTTCAGTTTCAGTGGACACAGAATCACTCAGGAGGCAACACAGATGCATCGATCTGATGAGTCCTAAAACGAGAATAAAATGTGCATCCCACATTCCAAAGCCATTCATCTTCCTCCAATTTACTTGAAATTAGTCTTCAGACGTCCCGCACTTAGATCACCCCTATCTCACTAACAAGTACTACTGGTTGATATGAGTGGTATCCTTCTACTCACTTCGGTCATTCAGTAGTATATAATGATACCATGCAATGACAACATGCTGAATTTTCAATTATTGGCTTTGTAGGGATTTTGTTTGATTGCATGAAGGATTTCATCATGAGCTGACATCAGTTAGAGAACCACTGGAAAACCTGGGAGTACTAGACAGCTGTTTCGCCCTAGTTTGAGACTCTTCAGCTGTACACACCCACCGGGATTGGAACCCAGGACCTTCTGGTTACAAGGCGAGCTCGTAGACAATTGAGCCACTTGGACCCTATCCAATGGTCCTTGAATTCTAACTTCTGCCAATTCACACCATAGCGCGACCATTTCGCAATGTTTTCTTCGATGAGTTACTGCCTCATCTTCAACCTGCTGTACCCTACTGGTCACGGCTTCCCACTGGAACCCGAGGTTAACTGCCTGAATAGGGCCAGTCACTAGTGAGCATCAGATTAATTTTCAAGTGTTGGTTTTGTGGGGATTTTTAGTTTGATTGCATGGCAGAAGTTAGAATTCAAGGACCATTGGATGGGGTCCCAGTGGCTCAATGGTCTACGAGCTTGCCTTGTAACATGCTGAATGGAACTAGAAATTCCAGTTATGACAGACAATCATATTCATCAGAGATGACGACAGTCAATGACAGTCTTCATCATGTGAGATCATTTTAAAGCTAGTCCAAGTGATAATTTCTTCAAATCCAGAAGAAATGCAATGCCTACTTCAAGATGTATCCTTTATGTTTGACCAATAATCGCTTAGAACAGTTCATTAACTGCATGAAGTCACTACCAACAGTTGGACAGAATAGTCATTTCAAAATATTAGAGATAAAATAAGAACAAGAAGAAGTTCAGCAGCAAAGATGTTGATCTTTCCGGCGATTTCATTCTCAAAACCAGCTATACAATCGCACTTATAAACATAAGTTTACATACATACAATTATTATTTGTTTAATTCCACATAGGAAATAGGCATAAAATGGACCTACACAAAAAACTTGGAGGATCTGGACTTCACGGATGATATATGTCTGATTTCCTACAAACTGGAAGATATTCAAGTGAATAGACAACAAGTTGGAGGTAGAAGAAGCATCAAAGAAAGAAATTCCTTCGGGTGAACATAGGGGAAACAGAGGGTCATGAAGATTCCCGGTCAACAATGACAGCAACAACAACAGACAACAATCAACCAGTATAAATCGGAGAAATTTGAAAAAAGCAACCTCCTTTACCTACCTACCTACCAGGGAAGCATCGTCATTCTAACTACAGGCGAACGGAACTAACAAGGACATCAAAGTGAAGATCGTTGGGAAAGCAGGGAAAGCTTTCATTACTCTCAAGTCTGTATGGGGATCAACAGCACTCAGCATGCAAAATAACACCCCGATTTTCAACTTCAATGTGAAATCAGTGGTACTATGCGGATCAGAGACTTGGCGCCACGTCACGCCACGAAGACCACTTGGAACAAACTACATACCTTCACTAACAACTATCTTCGCTCAATACTACTCAAGATCAGATGACCAGAAAATATCAGCATTCATGAGGGATCTTTGGGAACGAACCAACCCAGCAGGAACCAATTGTGCAACAAATCTGCAAGAAGAAATGGAGGTGGATTGATTAGCCACACTCTGAGAAAACAAACCATCAAGTGACATCCACCACACGCCAGGCCGTCGCTCGAGTGGAACTTGGCCGAATGGGAAGAGGCGAGTTAATCGTCATTGCGAGTGTGACATGAAGGAAGTGGTGGTGTGAAGAGGAGATGAGAGCATGTGTGGGTGGACGTGGAGCCAGGTGGAAGGGTTAGTGGAGAACCGAACGCAATGGAGACGAGCCCTATGTTCCTCTAGGAATTAAAGGAAACAATAATAATAATGATAATTCCACATAACAACGACAAAGGAGATTAGAGGTGATAATAATTTTCAACTTGAAATGAATGTTTGAAAGTGTGAATATTAGATTTCAAGGGGTTTAGGAACAACATTACACATGACTAGAAAACAGTTACCTAATGTGTAAAGTAGTTTTTTCTAACGAATACAGGTGTGAATGGGATGAAATCGATTGCAATAATTGTTCTTATTACAACTAACATGAAAAAAACGAAGGGAATGGGGAAACAAAACACGAAATCTAAGGATCCAAGCCGAATTATATCCATGGTAAATGTAGAGGATGGACTAGTTTCTTTTCAGTACATATAACTCTAACATTTCGATGCATATGGTGAAGGCTTCTACTGTACAAAGAAGTCAGAAACGCACTGTCTTTGGTAGATTTTCGGTTTACTTTGTAAACGACTGTGAATGATGGTTGGATGAGTCAGTTTGAGATGCTGTGACAGGTGTGTTGACGAGGTGTTCAATTATGGCACTTCTGATTATACCAGTTCGTCCTCTTTTCAGCCATGCTGCGTAATTTTCTCTAACACGTTTTGATAGGACCCGCATGGAGTGACCTTTTTACCTAGCTCCGCAGCAGCAGGTATATGCATGCACGTTGAAGTCGGCAGTCTTTCACATTGCTTCGAAGCAGTTAGCGGCTGGAGAATATCAACCTTAAAGTTGCTTCAGGAAAGCTGTACATTAATGAACTGGAGATTCTCCTATTACTAATATCTGCAGCTAAGTTCCACCTGAAGTCCAGAATGAAATATAGTGTTTTCTTTGGTACTGAAATGCCTTCTTCACCTTTTTGATCCTGGTTTCATTTTCTTCTCCAGGAAAAGTGCTGCGTATCTACTTAACCCAAGATATATGTTTAAGAAATAGAAGCCCTTCTTCTAAGCAGTCACTGCTGCGAATTTTTATAACACGGTAGGCGAGAGAATTACCAAATATTATTATATCAATCTGTTTCAGTGATCATCCCATTCACACCTGTATTCGTTAAGAAACAGCTTTACACATTACACAAATATTTTCTAGTCCTGCGTGTAGTTGGTTTTAAGAAAGAAATCGCTGAAAAGATCAATTTATAAAGGACATCTCAGAAATCACTGCAAGACTCTTCAAACCAACAAAATCACTTTACTCAGCTGACTGGCTGTGTGTCAACCAAAAGACTCAACAGCGAAAGAAGATAAAACCACCATCATCTACAAAATAAACTGTAACAACTGCGAAAAACTCTACATTGGCCGAAGTGGACATCCCCTTCGTCTTCGTATCCATGATCATAAACTAGCCGTCAAAAGACATGACATCCACTTCCTCGCTCATATCGCTGCATACAAACAACCATGGACATCAATTCGACTGGGACCACTGACGTTCAAACATTAGACAGAGGAAACACCAAGAATGCTAGAGAATCCAGTGAATTGTCAATCAATAAACACATCGAGATAGACAAAATTTACCAACCGATAAGAGGGAAATCCCACACATACAAACGGTTAAACTTCAGATCAAGGAAACAATCAGCACCAAACCAATACCAATCAGTCTAGAGGATGTGAAAACACACACAAAAACAATCAGTCACGACGCTCAAGGTCACCCACTGGGAGAGATGACTAATAAACGTTTGGAGATGTTGCCTAGTACGGAGGGGTGGGGGCAACGAAAGCTTCGCAAATAAACTATCCATCTCAGAGAATACAACCACATCAAAAAGATCAACAACATCTTTGCAGCTGAACTTCTTCTTCGTCTTTCCCCTCTAACGTCCTGATGGGAATTTTTCATGATTTACAAATATATATAGAAAGAAGGCAAACAATGCTTACCTGTATTCGAGCTTTGCAAGGAATCAGTTGTATCATTTCTATTTGAATGTCTTAATCCTCGTGGTTTTGTCAGTCGACACATACTACCATCACCAATAGGACGTCGTGAATTGTTATTATTATTATTCATATTCTCTTTATCATTTTCACTGTTATTTGAAGGATTTTCAAAAGTTTCCGACTGTTGCCAAAGTTGTTCATGTTGACTGTCAAGTATCAGGCATCGTTTTGTTGGTTGTTTCTTCAGTACTGTCTGTAAATTTGGCTGAGCAGCAGTTGGATTGTCCGATACAGTGGAAATATTATCAACTGACTGCAGGGTATTCTTGTTTTGCTTTGACTTTAAAGTTAGATAATAACAAAGAAACAGAAATATTAAAATTTAGCGTAATTCGTATATACTACTGAAACATCACATAAGTAGCTCGAGTCAACTGGAAATAATCGATATTATCCTTAAGCCAAACCAAGGCAACTTTAACTATAAATGATTACTTTAATTGTTTAGAACACGGTCCTTCAGTAGTGTACCCAGAATGGCTCAGAGGTTATTGGGAAAAATCTACAAACTACCCAGTATGAAGTAGGATCTCGGCAGACTTTCCCTTCGAAATAGGAAACTCTTCATATTAGCGATGTTGGTAACTCGACAGTTAGACTTAGGTTTCCTGAAGGTGAGATAGTCGTTTTGATCATTCCGGGGCCTATTTAACGATCTGTTCTTTAATTTAGGTAGACTTCACTAGGGGACATTTATTTACCAGTTCACACATAACTTGCAATTCTTACAATCCTTTCTGGTAGTTTTTTGAAATTCCTGATGACTTAATCAATTTTGTTTATGAATACCCCGCTGAAATATCTCATCGATTCAGTCAATTCCACCCATGCTTCGATATTTCTTAGGATTTGAGAACCTAAAGTCACCTACTTAATGGCAGCTAGCAGTAGCATCTATCATGTGAGTTTCATCCTACTTGAGACCCCTGATGGTGTTCCTAATGAAACTCGAACCCAGTGCCCATTACTTCAAATGCCAAACGGCAATACGTCATTAGCTCAATTGAGTTTTAAGTGTAAATTAACTGCAGAAATGTGAGAGAAGATTCATGTAATTTGTATGATGATGAGAAGTGTCAGTTGGCTCCTTACTTGAAAAGCTGAGAAGTTATACAGTCGTACACAGTGAGATGTTACTAAAATCAATGCTAGTGTCACTCAAAAATCAAACATTTATTGGACAGCTGCTATTTCATCCTAGTTTGGAAATCATCGGCAGTACCCGGGACCTTCCCATTACAAGGCAAGGTCGTATACTATTCAACCACTGGGACTCGATTCAATGGCTCATGATTTCTAACTTCCACCAATTCGTGATTTAGTGCGACCTCAACCAATATCATCGGTGGGACATCCATCCACTGGTCACGTCTCACTAGAACTCCAGGAAACTCCATCCTGTAGCAAGTCACTAGCAAGCATCAGATTAATTTTCTATAGTTTGGTTTGTAAAGGTTTGTTATGTTTTTACGAGTGAGAAGTCGTGACCAGTGAGGTTCAATTAGATGCCACGTGTGTGGATGGATTGCCCACCAACGACAATGGTTGGGGTCGCGCTAAATCATGAATTGGTAGAAGTTAGAATTCATGAGCCATTGAATCGGGTCCCAGTGGCTGAATAGTATACCAGCTAGCTTGCCTTGTAACCGGAAGGTCCTGTGTTCGAATCCCAGTGGGTGCGTACTGCCGATGATTCCCAAACTAGGATGAAACAGCAGCTGTCCAGTACTCCCTGGTTTTCAATGGTTCTCTAACTGATATCAATCTGTGATCAACTCGTAAAAGAAAACATAACCAACCCTTACAAACCAAACTATAGAAATCACACATTTATTGTGCTTTAACTTGCTGTGTCAAGTAGAGGTCACATATATTATTAGATATAGCCCATCTGCTTTACCCGGAACTTCATAATTTTTGGGTTTTCTTCATTCTTTGAGTTTCAAATGGAATAAAGATCTTCAGTCTTTGAAGTTTCGTTAGCGATGGTGTCAGTTTTACTTGGTGGAGTTTATAGCCTCACACCCAACCCCTCCCCCTCTTATCTAGGCTACTAAACTACTCACAATGTAAGATTCCATTGACAGGGAATCGAATCCAAACCACTGACAAAACTGTCCTAACTTCCTTCCACAGTGTTCAAATGATTGATGCATTAAGTGCACAAGACACAAGAGGTACGAGAGTGATCAGATAAGTGGAACATTCTGAAAAACTTTTGAGTTCCCCGATTATATTTTAATAAACAGTAAGCGAATGAAGGTAAATGAATGGTAAATATACTGTGTGGTAATGATTAAAAACCAGTTGGAAAGGTCGTTCTTTGCTGCAATCAAAAATCGATAAATATCCTTCTCATTCTAACTCCAACTGTATATACAAATTTCCATGTATCTGCGGGAGCAATTACACTGAAAGAACAGAAAGAAGGATACATCTAAGACTTTCTGAACATGTAACAAAAAGCCAATGTCTCATGGGAACGAATGCTTTCAACCGTTCCGTTGCCAGGCATCTCCTTGACGCGGGTCGTGAGGTAGAGGTCGCAAGATCGTTCGAAATTATCAGCAGGAGAAAAAGAGTTCAATTCTCTTCAAGTTTGCTGAAGTTACCTCTATCAAGAGCCTGAAACCCGATTTATACGTTCAGAAAGAAGGCGTTATCAGTCTTCCTTTGACCTTGTAACTGGATATTTTCACCTCTTTTTCATCTGATCACGTAATGTCAAAAGTTTCCTTTGTGTATGATCATTATTGTTCGGAATAGTGTTCAGTATTATATATATATACTGTTTAAAAATGAACTCTGTGCAAGTATGTTAAAATTCTTTCTGTAGATAAACTTAAAAATGGCTTTGGCCTGTAAGCAGATGACGAGAAGCAAACGAAATAAACACTGATGGTACCACTATATTCTGCAAAAAATTGATGTTTTTGCTTTATTCAAATTAGATAAAAATTATCCGCCTGAGTTACATATCTTCTCTAATATTTATGCCATAAAGTCAATCTGCACCAAAGAAAGGACTAGACACATTACACTAGTTACTGACTAGTGTCCAGTCAAAGTATCCAATACAGTCCTACAGGAGATCAATCACGAACCCGGATCGCGCAGTGGTAACGTCTGTGACTGCATCACTGCACTGGGTGACGCGGGTTCATATCTCAGAAGGGACATGAGTTGTTTCTTCAGGGTTTCAGACACGCCTTTCTGACTGGTGAGTGCCAACTAGCACGAAACCTAGATCAAGCAAGGCTTCCTGTGATCGATTGCCTCCAATCATCTAATACCGCACTCCTTACAGAACCGCTACATCCTTGTGTTGGCTCCATACTGAAGATCAAATAGTAGGCCAGAAAGAATAAACAACAAGAAACTCTGACTGGGAACAAACTAACCAAGAGCCGACTACTCAACAAGTATGTAGGAGAAAATGGAGGTGGATCTGGCACATACGCAAATGAGGAAGCCGTCGGGTGACATCGCGCTCAATGCAGGTCACTGTTCGAGTGGAATCCCAGTGGAAATCGACGAATGGTTGGTCATTGCGAGTATGGCAGGGAGGAGGTAGTGTGGAGAGGAGGAAATGAAAGATTATGGACAATCATGTGGCTAGCCAGTTGAAGAGGATGGCAGAAATTAGAAGTGGAGATGTGTTGCTGAAGCCCTATGTTCCACTCGGAACCCAAGGATGGTAGACTTTAACACTTGATTTCAGTCAGAAAATTTATTTTGTTGACTCATTATAACGCCAAATTCCTAATTGTGATGGCCTCAGATGATGCAGTAATACCCCATGTTTTCCCCGAATAAAAAAGCGTTTTCAGGAGATACACCATATATCATTAATGGATAGGTCGAATACGTTCATTCATATTGAAGTCTATGCCAAATCGATGCTGTCTGGAAGGACAATAAAGGCTTTACAATTAAATCAACTAGCTTATAGAAGACATCTAAATAAAAATTATCCACCTTAGCTACAAATCTTCTCTAATATTTATAACATAAAGAAATGACACTGAAAATAATGTCTTAGTTGGTAGCTAAACGTCCGCCAACATCAACTCAAGTCACAAAATAAAAGGAAATCATAAAAACGAATTCATAAAACTCAACAATTACTGATGGCTATTTTGCAACAGTTGGTTTAACTCTTGAAAATAAATCTGATGCTCGCTAGTGACTTGCTACAGGACAGAGTTTCCTAGAGTTCTAGTGAGAAGTCGTGACCAGCCAGGTCCAACCAGTCAAGTGTGAGGATGGATGTCCCCCCAATGAAATTGGTTGGTAATCGCATCACTGAATCTGGTCCTAGTGGCTGAATGGTATACGAGCTTGCTTGGTAGCCGGAAGGTCTTGGGTTCGAATCCCAGTGAGTGCGTACTTCCGATGATTCCCAAACTATGACGAAACAGCTGTCCAGCACTTTCTCGTAAAAGCAGATGATTATGTTTTAAAAAGTGCTTTACGTCACATCAGGAATAGCCTAGAGAGGTATGCATAAGTGGAGATTGAAAAACTGAAAGTTTTGTATTACATAATAAGTGTAGAAATGACTAACTCTCTGTCTGAATGTACAAAATCGATAAAAGATATTTGATATGGGGTAAACTGTTTTAAATGAGATCGTTATGAGAAATACAACATTATTCATAAGCGAAAATAATAATCATAATAACGAACTAAACCTCGGATAATACAGTGATGGCAAGAATCTTACTCTGACCACACTAAGGCTAGTGAGTATGTCTATTACCTTTGAGCACAAAGGTTAGGTTTATGCTCCCGATAAGCCAGTGATCCAGCCATGTATAGTTGGTGTATTCCTGCCCGTCTTGTCTAATTCTGGGAAGCTTTATGGAACACTGTGAGCCAGTTATATATTGAGAATTCTAATTTATTAATAAAACTGCATTTTTCTAACCCAGTTCAGCCTGATATGGTGTGCTTTTGTCTCCTGAATTTCCTAGGTGAGAGGTTTAATTGGGCAGGATGTGCACACTACTGAAGTGTCCCAAACTAGGACGAAACAATTGTCCAATGCTTTTTGGTTTTCAATAACTCTCTGACAAATTAATTCATTTTAAACAAAAAAATAGTGAAATTGAAATTTTCAAGAATTGGTTTATAAGCATTAGATTTGTTTTTACGAGTTTGACGACAGATTGATATCAGTTAGAGAACCACTGGAAACCAGCCACAGGGAGTACTGGACAGCCAGCTGTTTCATCCTAGTTTCGGGAATCATAGTCAGTACGCACCCACCGGGGGTCGGACTTAGGACCTTGTGATTACAAGCCACTGGCACCTGATTCAGTGGCCGCCAGCCTATGAATTCTAACTAACTAGTGACTCGCTACAGGACGGAGTTTCCTGGAGTTCTAGCTAGAAGTCGTGAGCAGTTAAGTTCATCCAGTCAAGTGTGAAAATGGATGTCCCACCGATGACATTGGTTGGTGCCAGTCGCGCTAAATCACGAAGTGGTAAAAGTTAGAATTCGTGGGTTGCCAGGTGAGTTGGGTCCCAGTGGCTGAACGGTCTACGAACTCGCCTTATAATTGGAAGGTTTTGGGTTCGAATTCCTGTGGTGATTGTGTACTACCTATGAGTCCCAAACACGAGGATGGAACAACTGGCTGTCCAGTACTGTCTGTGTCTGGTTTTTAATGGTTCTCTAATTGATATCAATCCGTGGTCAACCTTGTGAAAATAAAATTAATATGGCGATATCAACAGTTCATAGGAAACATATTTATATAAATAAATTTCCATTACTTACGTAAGTATGTCTAAGATTTCGTGTTGGCAGTGGATGTACTGATATTAAAATCCTTTCATTGTTATTATTATTATTACTATTATTATTGGTATTATTAAATTTACAAGTTAATTTATCCACAGAATATTCTATAGACTCTTTGACAATCACTTTATTAGTGAGTTGTGCTGTTTTAACTGTAGCTTTACGCTTATAACAATGAATTTCTCTTGATTTCAATCGTTTTAAACAATTGGACATTGAATTTGTCATGTCTGCTGTCACAGTTTAAAAGTAATCCACCTTTTCTGTTTCTCTTTAAGGTTATTTATGCTTAAGCATAATTAAGTGCTACTATTACTACTTTGCCATATGCTTTTCTGCTATAAGCAGTTTGAGTTTTTTTGGTGTTTTGGTCATATCAGGAAACAAAAAGTATTTACGTGGAGAAAGAGAAATCCTAGTCAAGTGCACGAGACAGATTTTACGCCAATCTTTTCATTCCTGCATCTATTCATGTGTACGTGCCTGTATTTTTATTTGCGGGAGCATTTAAACCTAAGTCAGGATACGATCGATCAACTGATTATGACTAATTGAATGGATTGAAGTGCATCAAGACTGTTTTGTGATTGGTTCATTTCTGCCTGACTGAGTGCACATCACTGATTGGTCAGCAGAACAGAACAGAACAGAATTTAGAAGTATTTTCGAGGCTTTGTAACTTACTGCATATGTATGTGCATTCAGTAAATATTTATGACACAAGCATCTAATGGGTTAAAAAGTAAGCTGTACAGACATTTCAGTACTTTCAACAGTTCGTTTGTAGGAATTTGATTGAGATCAAGTGCTATAACAAACTGATTCTAAGTATTGGTTTTGTAGGGATTTGTTTTTATTGGTTAGATAACCACTGGAAATCCTGGGAGCACTGGATAACTGTTTCGTCCTAATTTCAGACTCTTCATCAGTACGCACCTACCATGGGGCATTGGATTGAGTCCCAGTGGCTAAATGGTCTACGAGTTCGCCTTCTAACCAGAAGGTGCTGCATCCAAACACCACTGGTGGGTGCTTAATGTCGAAGATTCCCAGACTAGGATGAAACAGCAATCCGGTACTACCAGGTGGTTTTCCAATGGTTCTCTAACTGATGTCAGCTCCTGATGAAATCATCCAAACAATCAAACTGATCTTAATTATAGAGTCATTGATAAACAACCCACCATGGTGGGTAAGAGGACAAATACTTACTGATGATAACATCGACTGGTGGTTAGGAATTTTCAGAAGTTATAAGTTCTTGGATTTAGTTCCAATGACTGAATCGTCAATGGGTTCATCTTATAATATAAAGTTATTGGGTGAGATCGTCAGCAAGCTTATGACATGCGTATAACTCCATTACAGAGATTTTATTTTTGATAAATCGCAAAGTGTCTATTATACAGTAATATTTACTGATCACCACGTTTCGAGCACAAATTATTGCCACTGATAATCATATCAAGGTGGTACTTACACAACTTATTGCTTCATTTATATACATGAGTAAAATTGATGATTAGACATTTGAATAAAACCAATATAAGATAAAGTACATTCATAAATAATAATATGAGTGTTTTCGATCAAATACAATCAGATGGGAAATAAGACGAGTGTATTTTATAGTCATAATAAGTAACTTGTTATGTAACAACAGAAGACAAGGGCCAGGCAACAGAACGTTTATTACGGAAAATCAACACATATTTATAGATTTTGATGTACATTATTGTAGGTTAATGTTAGTAGAAAATACAGTCTTTTGATTGGTTGTTTCTCACACAAAGTTAACCTTGCATCTCTTGTGGCTGTGTCAGTTCATCTATATGTTAACTGTATCCGCCTGTCCATCTTGACCTTTAACCTCAATTACTGTCAACCAATTTGGCTAGCAACCATCTCTCACCGCAGTTAGAATGTTATGATGTACGTGAATTGAAATATAATTTTTAAGATTATTTATTATCCTCCTCTGATTTGACTAACTGGTGTTAATAATATCTTCCATATCTCTGATATTTGCGTTGAGTCATTTCTGTTGCATGTGTTGTGTTGGGTGTAGACTCAATGAACCAGGCAGGATTCAGTAATCAATCTCTATCTCTCTCCGCCTACCTATATTACTTTTAAGAAATTTGACTCTGTCCCACGAAACCTATTGTGTGATTGTGTGTTGTTAATGCACGCACTGCAATTCCTGAGCTCTTTTTGATCTAAATTACTTATCTTCTCTGGGTCAACCATTCTTACCCTAGTTGAATTCTTATGTTCTGACAGTCAGATTACCCCTGGCCTACTAGTTTGATATCTTTGTGGACAGCTGGGAAAATATTGCTCTAAATACATTTAATCCTAATCCAAAGATATGGTGAGGTATGTGGATGACACTTCCACAGTGTTAAAACACTGAACATATCTCTAGCTTCTTGACACACATAAACTCACTAGAATAGGGAATAAAATTCCCCTTTGAATCCGAAAATGAACAAGGAGAATTAGCCATGATGTCAGATTGTAAAATAAAACGAAGAGAAGAAGGTAAACTGCACACTGTCGTTTATAAAAACTAACGCATTCTGCAAATAGATATTTAGACTTTAATTCATCTCATCCGTTAACTGTTAAGGCAGGCTTACTTGTTAAGTGTCTAACAAACCGAGCATTAGCACTAAGTAGCACAAAAAAGACCTAAATGACGAAATAAAACACATAGAAGAAGCGTCGGTGTTGAATAAATATCCCATAAAATTCATTAAGAAAATTAGAAAAGGTCAAAAGCAGAATAAAGATAATGGGGAAACTAGTAATGATAACAAAATAAGAGAGAATATAAGGCATCTACTGTTATACCATATAAGAAGGGGAAATATGGCACCCTCCCTATGTAGGATTCTTAATAAAGCAGGAATTAGGGTGGCATTCAAACCTACAAACTCACTCAGGTAGGACAAGCTCTGTAGGCTAAAGGATTGTGTAGGTTTACCCAGTTAAATAAAATAATGTAATTTACAAAATACCTTGCAATGACTGTGAGCAAGTTCAACTGAATAGGTCTTGTTTAACACAATTATCTGTTGATGTCACCAGTGACTAATCTCATTTCATCAGACATTTCGATTCATGAGGACTTTGAGTATGATATTAGCAGATTATTTTTCGCTGTTGAGATCGGCTTATACAAGCATGCTATGGAGTGGCCAGGTGACAAATGCCTACAGATGGATGGATACTCATTGGTCAAAAATGCAACTTGATTCAACCACCTGCTACTCTTTTTACGGCAGTTCTGATGTTGTGCAAGGAGAGTTAAATCTTCTAAGGAAATTCCTAACCGAATATGTATATCCACAAAGTTCTGCAGACAAATATATAATTAAGACATATGAAGTGTACTTCCACCTCTGTACCCAATAAAACGCTATTTATGAGCCTTGAATTGTTAAAATAACGAGCTCGCAGTCCTTGAAAAGAAGATTTGCTGCAGCATTATTGAGACTACTGTTTACCAGTCGATTATTAGTGTTCAATAACCGGGATGACAAGATCCTATAATTGATCAACTCTATGTATATTTACCAGTTCATGCGCTCCTGTCATTCGATGAGGATTTTGTCTTACATAGTTCAGGAATCTCAATCTCTGCGGTCGCGAAGAAGTGGTAGTGTGACTGTAAGAAAGGCAAAAGACTGAACATGTGGTCATCGCATCCCTACAATTTCTTTCTTTATAATTTCTGCAATGATTTAACTTTACATGGCGACCCCATTGGAAGTCGCATAAGTTTGTACTCCACTCGGAATGGTGTAACAGTATGAAATAGTCCCATATTAAAGATTTAATGTACACCTTCATAGAATTCTTCTATCCTAATGAAGTTGGAAAAATTGTGTAGGATTATACGATATGACCATTTTATTTTGTTAGTTCTGCTCAACTACATTAAACCTGAAACTGTTTTGATAGCAATAGACAAAATGTTCATATACTTGATTTAATCAGTGGTTACAGGATTTCACCATGAGCTGATGCCGGTTGGAAACCATTGGAAAGCCACTAGGAAGTACTGGACAGTTAACTGTTTCTTCCTAGTGCTTGGGACTTTTCAGCAGTACTCACCCATTGGGTGTTGGACTCAGGACCTTCCGGTTACAAGCCAAGCTCGTCGACCATTGAGCCATTGGAACCCGATCCAGTGGCCCAATTCATGATATAGCATGACTGACACTAACCAATTTTACCACTGACGAGTATTTGCCCTCACACGTGACATGCTAAAACTCACTAGTCACAGCTTTTCAATAGAACCCAGGCGACTACCTGCCTGAATAGGGCCAGTTACTTGTAAGCAGCGGATTAATATTCAAGTGCTGATTCGCAGGGATTTGACTGCCTATAAGATTTCATCATGAGCTGACATTGGTTAAAGAACCACTGGAAAACCCGGGAGAAGTCGTGACTAGTGGGGTACAGCAGGTCGGGTGTGAGGACAGATTCTCGCCACTGATGACATTGGCTAGTGGTCACACGATATAGTGAATTGGCAAAAGTTGGAATTCATGGGCTAGCCATTGGATTGGGTCCCAGTAGCTGAGTGGTCTACGAGATCGCCTTGTAGTCGGATGGTCCTGAATTCGACCCCCGGTGGTTGCCAACCGCTGAAAAGTTCCGAGCACAGCGAAGTTCAACAATAGCGTCCCGGGAGTGTGGAAGCTCCAGTGACCTTGAACGCATGCTAGTCGTTGGTTGATAGCATCTGTCATTATCACAGGGGAAATAACAACGCTATTCACCAGCTAAGCAGCAAATATTATCCGAATCACGTTTTTAAGTACTGTTTTTGGACAATGTGTTGATAGGTCGTTAGGTTTAGGATTAGGGTTAAGGTAAGTATTGAGGTTAGGGTTAGGATCAGGGTTATAATTAGTATTAGGGTTAGAATTACGGTTTGGATAAGGGTTAGCGTTAGGGTTAGGATTAATGTTAGGGTTACAATTAAGGATAGATTTATGTTTTATGTCATTTATTTTAATTTCTTTTCTTATCCACATTTTCCTGGTAAGTATTAAGTCGTCAGTCCTCTTACTGGAAGCCACAGTAATTCAACCGAGGCCTTTTGGTGAAGACTGAGCAACAGGATAAGAGAGACAAACGATTCACAAAAACAGCTCATCTTCAGTCATCTCGGTGAATACATGTACAGAAACTAGTCTAACTTAGCAACT